AAATCCACGTGTCTCTCTCCCTCCCTCTCTCTAAAAGCAATCAATAAAATCTTTTTTTAAAGGAAGAGCCCTACCCGGTTTGGCTCAGTGCATAGAGCATCGGCCTGGAGACTGAAGGGTCCTGGGTTCGATTCCGATCAAGGGCACAGGCCTGGGTTGCAGGCTCGATCCCCAGTAGGAAGGAGGCAGCCGATCAATGATTCTCATCATTGATGTTTTTCTCTCTCTCTCTCTCCCTTCCTCTCTGAAATCAATAAAAATATATTTTTTAAAAATGGAGCATTCATTTAAAAAAAAGAAAAGAAGAGAAAGAAGTGGGCAGGGGCTCCTAAGGGACTGGCTGCGCCCTGCTCTGCTCCTCTTACAAGCGTTTATGAAATGGGACATTATAGCTCTGACCGGTTTGGCTCAGTGGATAGAGCATCGGCCTGCGGACTGAAGGGTCCCAGGTTCGGTTCCGGTCAAGGGCATGTGCCTGGGTTGCGGGCACATCCCCAGTGGGAGATGTGCAGGAGGCAGCTGATGGATGTTTCTCTCTCATAGATGTTTCTAACTCTCTATCTCTCTCCCTTCCTCTCTGTAAAAAATCAATAAAATATATTTTTTTAAAAAGAAATGGGACATTATATTTTATGCGATTCTCCACATCATATTTCATAGGGTTTTTCTCATAGTTTTTAAATATATTTTTTCATCCCTCGGTTCCACATCTGTCTGTTCCTCAGACGGCTTGGTTCTCCAGGGGGCAAGGTTCCTCGGCCGTGGCCTGCAGGCCGGGGGTGCAGCGGGCGCCCGCGAGGAGAGAATTTGGGATCTGAAACACACATTTCAACTTGATTTTCCCAGAAGTGAGCAAATGTGCTGTGACTCCGCGACCACAGGAGGCCGGAGTGGCAAGTTCAGAGCTGGGTAATGCCCAGCCACGGCCGCCTCCCGCAGAGCAGGGCACCGAGAGCTGCCATGCACCCACCTCTCACCAGCCCCCCACACCACCTCCCCACCCCCGAACCGGCCTCCGCGGGCACAGGCTCACGGATGGCGCCAGCCCCCTGCTTTCAGGGTGCAGACGGAGCCTGCCAGGGTGGCCAGAGGGGAGGCGGCAGTGTGGGGGGTTGTGCCACCTTCCACCCGATTTGGAGGGATGGGGTGGTGGAGAGGCGCCCGCAGGGTCCTCGCCCTTGAGCGCAGGTGTGGGAGGGCAGGGGTGGCCCCCGGGACAGTGGTGGGGGACAGGGCGGTGAGTCCATGCGGCCCAGGCCCGAATGAGGAAGGGCCTGGTGTGGCCTCGGCTTTCCCAGGAGCCTGGGGACTTTTGCGTCTGTATTTTTAGGCTCTGGTGGCCGCGGTGGAGGTTGCGGCCTGGGGCTGGGGCGGCGCAGACTTCCAGGGAAAGGACTGTCTTTTCAGGTTCGGGGCTGTCCCTTCCGCGGGGATGGGCTCCGGGCTCCGGGCTCCGGATCGCTGGGGAGGCTTGGCCGGTCTCAGGGGGTGCTGGGGCTGAGGGGGGCTCAGGAAGCAAGGCCAAGCTCCTGAAGGAGGCAGGTACCGCCTAGCACAGCGACGGCGAACCTTCTGAGCTCGGCGTGTCAGCATTTTGAAAAACCCTCACTTAACTCTGGTGCCGTGTCACATATAGAAATTTTTGGATATTGGCAACCATAGTAAAACAAAGACATATTTTTGATATTTATTTTATATATTTAAATGCCATTTAACAAAGAAAAATCAACCAGAAAAATGAGTTCGCGTGTTACCTCTGACACGCGTGTCATAGGTTCGCCATCGCTGGACTAGCATCTGGGTAATTCATAGCCCACACTTTCCTACTGGGGGCAAGATCACCTCGCTCTCCCGGTGCCCCCAGTGAATTAGTGTGGTGACTAATTCAGGCTCCACAGCTCAGGAGCTAGTCTGATGGAGGAGGCAGGAGCAGACCCCCCCACCCCCCGGGAGCTTTAGGGTGATGGTGGAGGCACGCCCGCTCTCTCCAGGAAGCTCTGCTCCAGTCTAATACTCACCCAAGTGCCCCTTGTGAGGCGGGCAAAACTGCCTCCCCCACCCCCTCCCATTGAGAACCACCGTCCCAGACACAGGAGGGAAGCACCTGCCTCGTGTTCAGGGAACTCCTGGTCTGATGGGAGGCAGGCCCCCGCCCCCCCCCTCCCCGGGGAGTTCCGAGCTGCAAGTGCAGATGGGAGAGGCATCACCCACTGTTCGAAGTACCTGGTCTGTGGAGAAGACACACCCGCCTTCTCAGGGAGGATCTGATCTGAGGGAGGAGGAACACCATTCAAACCCACCAGGAACTCCCAGGCTGGGGGGAACATGCCCCCTCACCACCCAGGGGCCCTCTGAGTCTGATGGTGGACGCCCCCCTCCCGCCCTGGGGCAGCTCTGGTCTGAGGAGGGAGGCAGCCTTCTGGTGTGCACGTCCCCCCTCCTCGCTGCTGACCGAACAAGCAGGCAGGGGCTCCCCTCCTCACCTCTGAGGAGCATCCTGGAATCGGGGAACTTCTCTGGGACACCACCGTGTCCCAGCCCGGGGACTCCCCTCCACTTCTCAGCCCAAGGCCAGGGCCTCACGGCTCACCCAGGCCCCCCTGCAGGTGCCCGCTCACCTCCCACCCTGCTTTCCGAGCCTGACCTCCCAGCGCCCCTCTCACAGGGGCAAACTGGCAGAGTGGAAGGTGGACCCAGGCTCGCCTCGCTCCTCACGATGCGTCTGTGCCAGGCCGCTGTGCCAGAGGGCTTCTTGCTCACTCACTGGGTCCTCTCAGCCATTGCGTTATGATGTTCCTGGCTCAGAGGGGGAAACTGAGGCCCAGGGAGATTGGATGCCCCTCCGATGCCACTGAGGCAGAGCCGATATCCACACGTAGGTTGTCGGACTCCAACGGCCTTTGCCCCGGGTCAGGTCCTCCCGAAAGCAGAGCGTAGGTGAGCGAAGAGGGCAACGGAAGGGTGAGCAGCACCAGGGCCTCACGGAGTCAGACATGCCCACCCGGCAGGTTCCTGCTCACCTCCCCACATCAGGCCAGGCTGCCAGCTCAAGGGGGAACCCCTGAAGCAAAGTGCCCACTAGAGGAATTCCACAGCGGGCGGAAGTGCCAGGGCTTCCTACCCTGTCTGCCCAGTCAGCGGCCGGGGGCAAGCTGAAGCAGACCCTGAAGGGGCCACTGTGGGAGCCTGTCAGGGTCCCCGCGACCGGCAGCGGGGCCACCAGTCTTTTCTTGGAGGGGGATCCAGGCCGTGTGCCTCAGTGGCGGTCACTCTCACCTCTATATTAATAGGAGCAATCGCTTAGAAAGAATACTAGCATCTTCCATTTCCTCGGCACTTACTCCGCGCCGGCCTGTGCCAACGTGTGTGTGTGTGTGTGTGTGTGTGTGTGTGTGTGTGTGTGTGTGAACTCGCCTGACCCTCACAACAGCCCCGTGAGGCATGCACTATTTTTGCTCCCGTTTTATAGATGAGTAAACTGAGGCTCAGAGAGGGAGCGTCCCGCCCAGGGTCACAAAGCTGGTAAGTGGCAGAGCTGGGACTCAAACCCACACAATGAGACGGTGAGCCCCAGTTACCCGTGAGGACACGGAGGCCAGCACCCTACTGCCTGGCTGTCCACCATCACCTTGCTGGGACCCTCTGCCCTACCCTGACCTTCCCAGACACCCCCGCCCACTGCGTCAGCCCTGATGGCCGAAGGCAGCGTATGGGGGTGGGGAGAGGGTGTCCAGTCTCAAACCAGGATGTCGCAATCCTCTGACTCAGCGTGGTGCGTGCAGACCCAGCAAGAAGGAGAAAGGGGAAGATTAAGGGTTGGCCTAGTCCCCACGTGGGCTGATCCTGCTCGGTGCCAGCAGCTGCCAAGGCCCCAGGGTGGGGAGGAACCAGGAGGCACAGCCATGCTCTAGGAAGCTGGGATGCGCTCACCCTGGGGGTGGGGTAGGGGCAGCCTTGGGGAGCGAGTTGTCTGCAGACACAGAGCCCAGATGGGAGGCTGCGTGACCTTGAACTAGTCACTCCCCATCGGGGCTCACAGTATCTGCGACATTTACCTGCTCTCCCTGAGCCCCTCTGAAGTCTCACCCTGTCCCCCCTGCTGCACCGCCCCACCTCTCTGCTCCACCCTCTCCGCCCTGGGGGTGTGGACCGTGCTACTCCTCACAGGTGCTCTTGGGCACAGGCCTGGGCCGCTCAGGGCCTGTTTCCCCATCTAAACAGTTGCTTCCCAGGAAATAAGGGCCTAGAATTGAGCTGGGAGGGAAGGCCTGTGGTCTCTGGGACGAATGACCACACCTCCCAGCCAGCCGGTGCAGCTCCCAGGCTGCCGGGATCACAGAGACGGGCTTACAACCTTGGCCCTCACAGCATGACCCCAGGCACCGACCTCACTCCATTCGTTTCCTTCTCTGTAAGGTGGGGATTTTGGTTGAATTTTCCTCATAAGATTCTCAAGAGGATTAAGTGGGCCAATTCCTAGTGGGAGCTGGGCCCAGAGTGAACGGGACCATCTTATCTCATCTCTGGTGGAAAAGGGAGACAGGGAAGGCCTGGCCTGATGGGTGCAGGCAAGCAATTCGGAGACGGGAAAAGCTGTCACTCGTTCATTCCCTCTGCACACCTGCTCTCTCTTCATCTGCTCCACCGCCCTGCAAGGCAGGCGCCGTAACCATCCCCAACGATAGTCCCTACAAAGGCAGAGAGAGGGAAAGCCATCTCTCCAAGGCCACACAGCAAGCACATGGCAGAGCCAGGGCTCAAACCCACGTCTCTAAGCCACCATGTTGAATACTAATTTCCTCAATGACATGAGTCCTGCTGATGATAATAATAATTACTATTATTATTCCTATGGCTATCAGAGGAACAAAATCAAATGCAGCTACATTGAATTGAGCACTTCTTCTTTTAAATATATTTTTTTATTAATTTCAGAGAGGAAGGAAGAGGCAGAGAGAGATAGAAACATCAATGAGGAGAGAGAATCATTGATTGGCTGCCTCCTGCACGCTCCCCACTGGGGATCGAGCCCTCAACCTGGGCATGTGCCCTTGATCGGAATCAAACCTAGGACCCTTTAGTCCACAGGTCGATGCTCTATCCACTGAGCCAAACCGGCTAGGGCGAATTGAGCACTTTCTATCCCTCGGGCCCTGTAAGATGGGAGCATTCTTTTCTTGATGGAATCTGTTTTATACATCGAGATGTTTTATGGAGAGCTGAGGCTCTATCAGGGTAAGTCACTAAGCTACTGAAAGTGAGAGACAGGACTTACACCCAAGCCTCAGCTGGGAGCAAACAGGACAAGGCCAAGCCCTCTCCTCTCCTTTCAGAAGGGGAAACTGAGGCCCTAAGAGCAAGAAAGCTGCCCCAGGCCCACAGCCTTCTAGCTGGGACTTCATTCCCCTCTTGGGACCTTGAATAGGTACAGTCTTGGCCCTTCCTTCCCTGGGGGGAGGCAGTCAGCGGGAAGAGGCCATCTGAACGGGTACAAAAGACTATCTGAGTGAGGGAAAGTGGTGAGACACCAGGCAGGACTTCCGGGCCTTCTCTGGGAAGTTTCTGGGACTCATCCAGGGGCAGCCCCTGCCAGCAGGGGGCCTCCACAGTGCAAGGCCCAGAGAGGGGAGACCCTAGTCCTCCCCTCCTGGGACGCAGGGAATCAGGGGGGAGAGAGGGGGTAGGCATCCTGGTTCCGCATCCTCCATTCCCGACACTGAGGGAGGTGCTGTGGGAGCAGGGACTTTCCTGAGCAGCAGAAGATTCTGGGAAATCAGAGACAGCTACAGGGCGGGGCTGACGCCAGGCCTCCCTCTTCTCCCCTCCCCTGAGCCCCTGCTGGTTCCTCAAGGAGGCCCTCCTCCAACTGCTCCTCCTCCCACAGGCCGTGCCCTCCACCCTCAGACCCTCCAACCCTCCGACTCTATCAGAATTCACCTCCACCCTCAGTTCCCCTCCCCCCCAAGCCCCCAGCTCTCTCCTCCTCCATCAGAGCCTCTGTCCTCACTGGGTCCTCCTGACCTTCTCAGACCATACCCCCTTCCTCGGACCCCCTCCCCTCCTTATACCATTTTATTTCTCTCTCAGGCCTGTCTTTCTCCTTCAGGTCCTCCTCCCCCAGACTCTTTATCCCTCATCCATCCTCAGACTGGGCACCCCCTCTCCCTCAGCCCGTCCAAGCCCCACTCTGGGCGACACACAGATGCCCCCTCCCCAGGCCTGCCTGGGCCCAGAGCCACTGCTCCCCCTGCCCCAGGATGCTCAGAGAGGGAGGACCCTGGGTGCCTTCCAACCCTACCTCCTAGGGTCACCCCCTTGATGGGCCCCGTCCCTCTGCGGCTCAGCTTCCGGTTTCTCTACTGTGGGGTCATGCTCTGCACCCCACCCCTCTCCTGTGTCTGAAAGTCCCCAGAGATGAAGGCTGGGTGGGCAGTGCCAACAGCATCCGAACTTCCGATCTCTCCTCTTGCTGTCGCCCAAACAACACGGAGAGGCAGGGGTTGGCATCAGCCCATTTGCCAGAACAGGCTGGGTCTCAGGAGGACTGACTGTCCAAGGTCCCAGGGAAGCAGGGGTGGAGGTGGCATTTGAACTCAGGTCTTGCTTGGAGATGTTTCCCCATTACAGGGACTGAGAGGGCGATCCAGAGAGAGGAAGAATGAGGAAGAGGTCAGGCCTCTGTCCACTGCGGCTCCTCACATCCCGGGTTAAGTCCCTTCTTGGGGACCAGGGCCCCGCACCCAATTTCGGGGTCCCAGAGAGAGGCTTCCTGGGAGACAGATATACAGACAAATATCAGGAGACAAAAAGAGACGGGGCAGGCCGCAGACAGCGAGAGGGAGGCCAGGGATGAGGGACAGAGCTGCAGAGATGTGGGGAGATGCACTGAGAGGCCCTGCGTGCCGCCTGACAGGTCCGGGGTGTAGCCCCCACTCCCTCGCCCCCCTAAGCCCCAAAGCCTCCCCCTCGGTCTGCTGGAGCTCAGTGACCCGGACTCAACCCCAGCGACCGCCCCGCCCCCAGGGAAATCCGGGAAAGCCCCGAGCCGCCGGGGCCCCGCCCTGGGGTGGGGAGAAGGGCAGCAGGGAGGGGCCCGGGGAGAGCCCGCCTCCCCCCGCCCCCCCAGATCCAGCCGGCCTGAGTCACGTCCCCCAACCCGCCCGGCCTGTTCCTCACTCCTCTACCCCGCCCGACCCGGGAGGGGGGCGTGGGGGAGAAGGGGAAGCCAGATACCCCCCACCCCCCCCCTATACACACACACACACACACCCGCCCTGAACTTTGGTCGATCCGAGTCTGGTCTGCGCCTCTTGCTGTCTCTCGTCTTTCCCTTCCTCGGTCTCTCACGATCTCTAAGCCTCTGTTCCACGTCTGTTTCTCTCTGTATTTTCAGGATTCCCGGTGCCTGGCGACACGCGCTGGGCGCAGGGACCCCGCGGGGAGAGACACAATCAATGTCCCTTTGAGCGCCCCCAGCGCAGTCCCCCGCCCCCAGCGCGGTCCAGACCCCCGGCGGGGAGCCACGGGGGGCGGGGGGGGGGGCAGGCAGGGGGACAGTGCAGGCATCTGCCCGGCCCGGCCCCGGGTGCGCCCTTTCGCTCTCACAAAGGAAACGGCCCAGAGAGGGGAAGTGCGTGGTCAAGGTCACCGGGCGAGGAAATGGGAGTCAGGACTCGAACCCGCGCCCTGACGACCCCAGGGAGTCATGGAATTGCTTCCCTTGGGGAGGGACAGGGAAGCAGACAGAAGTCCACAGGCAAAAGGATCGTAGATGCAAAGAGACAGCGCAGACAGAGATAGAGGTAGAGACAGAGAGAGGCCGGAGACATCTCTCCGAGAGAGAGGGAGACATAGCCGGAGAGGCAAACACAGAGACGCGACAGCGAGAGGCCCGCCGCCGCAGGGGTGGGGACCCCCCTACCCCCCACCCCCGACCCCGCCCCCTTCCCACCCCCACCCCCACCCCACTCCGAACCGCGGCCCAGCCGCCCTGGGCGCCGCGGGGCCAAGAGGGGCGGGCGCGGGGCGAGGCGCAGGCGGGGCGAGCGGCCGACGGCTCCGCGGGGCCACGGGAGCGGCACCCGGTCCAGGAAACCCCGGGAGCGGACGGGTGGCCCCGGGGGAAGAGGGGGGGCTGGGGGCGTGGAGGCGGGCTGCCGGCACCGCCCCGGCCGACAAAAGTCCCTTCAGTTCAGCCGGCGGCAGGGGAAGTCCCGGCGCCTGGCTCAACCTCCCTCGGTGCCGCCGAGCCGAGCCGCGCTCCGGCCGCCCGCTCGGCCGCCGTCCCCGGCGGCCCCATGCCCCGATGCCCCACGGGGGCCATGGACGAGGGGCCCGTGGACCTGCGCACCCGGCCCAAGGCCGCCGGGCTCCCGGGCGCCACGCTGCCGCTGCGTAAGCGCCCGCTGCGCGCGCCCTCCCCGGAGCCCGCCGCCCCCCGCTGCGCCGCGGGCCCCTTGGCCACCCCGGAGCCCCAGCTCGGCGGCTCCAGCGCGCCCGCCGCCCCAGCGTCGCGCCACGGCCTGGCCCGGCCAGAGGCCCTTTATTACCAGGGTGAGTGTCTCTCTCTGGTCAAGGTCGGGTTGGGGGCCAGACAGGGCACTGGGTCACCGGAGCCGGGGCGCATAGCTCAGATGCAAGCACAAGGGGTTCCTGGGAGTCGAGGGGGCAGGGGGAGAACCCAAGGTCCCAAAGCTCAGATATGGGGCTCCTGGGACGCTGGGGGGCAGGCCCCGGTCCCTGGGATACAGACATGGAAGCATCAGGGAGCAGTGCCTTGGGACAGAGATATGGGGGCCCCAGGAAGCTGGGTGCAGGGGGCCTGCGGGACGAGCCTAGGGTCTGAACGCGACAGATATGGGGACCCAGGGGACCTGCCCAGCAGTATAGATTTGGGGTCTCGGGGAATCAAGGGGCAGAGCCTGAAGTCTAGGGATCACAGAATTACAAACTCTTAAGACCCCAGGTCTCTACCCCCAGGGTTTTGGGGAATCAGTGCTCAGGCCCAAGACGCTGAGGTTCTTGGCATCCAGATGTGTGGGGTCAAAGGAAGTCAGGGGAATAGAGACTGGGTTCTAAGGAGGCAGATATTAAGGGATCCCAGGACGTCAAAATCTCAGGAACGAAGACATCCGGGGACTTGGGGGGTCAGGAGAACAGAGTCAGAGTTCTGAGCGCCCCAATGTCTGGGGTCAGAGAGAGCCAAGGAAACAGACCCGGGGGTCCTGATGAACCAGCAGGACAGGGGCCCAGGGCGCTGGCCACCCAGTTGTGTGTGTTCACCATGGATCAGAGTTTCATCCGGGGTCACAAGACCAGGCAGTATTAGAGGGCTTGGGGCTGAGGATTCTAATAATAGGGGACAGGACCAAGGAAATCTGGGACTCAAGAATTTGGGGCCAGGATGAAGGATTCAGGGATCTTCAGAAGGCCTCAGGGCACCAAAGCCTGGTATTGGAGATACAGGGACCAGGAAACTGGGGGGCGTTCAGGACTCCCAGCGATGAGGAGATGACAGAGGAGGCCAAACGCCATTCTCCCCATCCTGACTCCATCCCTGATCTCAAGGAAGGGGCATCCCCTGCCACAGCTGTGCTCACCTCACCATCCCCAAGTGGCCCCCAAAGTGGCAAAGCCCGTGCTTAGTGCCTCCAAACCTTTGCCCAGTTTCTGCACCTCCCACCCCATTAGGGTACAGCCTCTAGCTGTGCATCGGGAGGCCTGCTATTACCCCCACTTCCCATTCCCCAGGTGAGAACCCAGGCCTCAGTTTTCCCATCTATGTGCTGGGTAGATATGGATTTCCCTGCTGCCAAGGTCCCCCTTCCCACCGTGTGATCTGAATAGGCTTCTACAGGCTTCTGGTATCACCTCTCACCTTCTGACCCACTCCTCTCCCCCAAATACTCTAGGCAGTCACCCCACACTCAGCACTTCAACCTGTCTTTACCCCCCTCAGCCACAAATTCACTCAGCAAACAGGCCCTGAGGACCCCCTGCTGGGTGATGAGGGAGTTCAGTCCTTGAGGGACTTTCTGCCTAGCAGGAGAGGAGAGTCAAAAACATGGAAAGTGACAACGAGGCCAGTGTAGCTCAGTGGTTGCGCATGGACCTATGAACTAGGAGGTCATGGTTCGATTCCCGGGTTGCAATCCCCAGTGGGGGACGTGCAGGAGGTAGCCGATCGCCGATCGATGATTCTCTCTCATCACTGATGTTTCTATCTCTCCCTCTCCTTTCCTCTCTGAAATCAATAAAAAAAATATATATATTTTTTAAAATGACAATGAGAGTGACCAGGGCTGGGGGACACGGACTGAGTGGGGGAAGCTGTGGGAGCCCAGAGGAGGGACATGGAAAGGGGCTTTGTCTTGAGCCTTCTGGACCCAGAATGAGATGCAAGAGGGGCCTGGGGAAAAGGGCAGGTGGGCACTGCAGGAGCAAAGGCCTGGAGGTGGGCCGAGGGCTGGGGGGGGTCTGTGGGCTTGGCCTCACCCGTGTCTTTTCTCTGCCCAGGACCCTTACTGCCTCTGTACCCCACCCCAACCATGGGCTCCCCCTTTCCTCTGCTGGGCCTGCCTCCACCCCTGTACCCCATGATGTGCTCAATGGAACACCCTCTGTCAGCCGACATCGCCGTGGCCACCCGCGCAGATGAGGACGGAGACACGTGAGTACTAGTCCCCCATTGATGGGGAGTGGGAATGGGGAAGCCAGCTCTCCCGCTTCAGCCACCACAACACAGGGGCACTCAGCCAGGCCTCGCTAGCTAACCCCACCGCTGGCTGTGTGACTTTGAGTAGGCCCATCCCCTCCTGGAGCCTCAGTTGCCTCTTCTGAAAAATGGGCGCCCTGAGAGCGCTTACCTCCTGGTGCCGATTTTGGAGTAAGGGGCTTCAAACTTGTTATCACACTCCAACAAAGAGAAAGACATTTCATTGGTTGACTTATTATATGAATTATGCATGCTCAGCTCCTAGTACCGAGCATGGTAGGTGATGAGTGCTCAATAGGTACTAATTAACATTGTTATTGTTATTTTATATTAAAAACTCAGCACATACACGTATAAACCAGAAATAAAAAATCGCACCAAACAAAACCATACCCTCACTACGTGGGATCTGTTTTCTGTTCTAGTGTGTTTCTCATTGTTTCATGGTCACAACCCACTAAATTATTTTCACGATCCCTTAAACTGATTTCACAAATCCCATGGTTTTGTCACCGGCAGTTTGAAGAACCTATTCCTGAAGCTGCTGAGAAATCCCACACAGGAGGGTTTAGCCCTCTGCACACTTGACCATCAGGCTTCTAATTCCATTGACCTCCGTTTGAATCTCAGCTAGTCACTTTCTCACCCCTCCCTGCCTCAGTTCCCCCCTGTAAAAACAGGAACCATAAGTGTGCAGGAGCCTGCGAGGCAAACATGAGATGGTTTCTGTAGAGCGCTTCTCTGGGAATAGTTTTGGGGACTGCAAACCACAGGTAGGCACGGATTGACAAGCCTATTTCTGCAGGGAAGGGGGGGGGGGATGACACTCCACTGCTGGATGTGAGGCGACCTCAGGTCCCTGAGCCTCAGTGTTTCTGTCTGGAAATCCACACCTCATAATAGGACGGATCCCAGCGAGGATTCAGTGCAACGATGAACATTCATATAGTGCAGGGAACGGGGCTCAGCGCACAGTAGGTGCTCAGTACACGTGGGTGGGTGTTGTTGGAACAGAGCTCCCCAGGCAGTGTGGGCCACGGTGTGCACCCAAGCAGGAGAAAGTGTCTGAGATATATAAAGGACTCGATAAAGCTCGTTTCCTCCTCTGGCTACCTCCGGGGTCGTCTGTGAAATGGATTTAATGCGTATCTGCCCCCAGGGGCGAGTTGTTTGTAGCCTGTGCAAGCAGGGTGCAGGAGGAGACCTAGCACGCCAGGCTGTAGCCCCGCGCCCCGCCCGCCCTCCCCCGCTCTCTCACTCTCCCGCCTCTCTCCCCTCTCCCCAAAAGCAAACACTTCTGCCTCAGCTGCTGGTCCGGGGAAATCCCTTCCCGCAGAACCTGACCGCAGCCCAGCTGCTCTGCCTCCCCCACGTCAGCACCCGTCACTCACTCGCAGCCTCCCCCTCCCGGCGCTCCCTCTAACCTTAACCCCTTCCGCTGGGGCCAGGCTTTACCGGAATGGGCAGCTGGCACAGCCTGGGGGCGGGGGTGGGGGGGTGGGAAGGACACGCTAAGGCTGGGCCCCCAGAGCTGCAAAGCTTGGTCGGGAGGCTAGACTTAGAGGGACTCAGGGAGCAAGAATCTCAGGGCTTCTGGACCCCCAAGAGGTCAGGCACTGGCAAGCAAAATCTGGGTCTGGGGGTGGTGTTGGGGGGAGACGAGCACTGAGTCCCAGAGGGCAGAGCTGGGGGCTCAGCATTCCTGGATCTCTGGTGCGGAAAGGAACAGGATGCAGGGCAGCCAGGGCATCTAGAGAGGGACTGGGAAGTCCGATCAGCCAAGGGGTAGGGTCCCAGGAGACTTTGAGGTGGATGCTGGGATGAGGGGCGACCAGAAGCCATCTGGAGTCTGCGGCGTACCAGGGGGGCCTCCAGGCTGGAGACTTGGGGTCTTTCCCCCCTCGCGCCCCCCAGACAAGCGAGGTCTCTGGCTTGGGCTTCCCCCTCCTTTACCCCATTCGAGGATGGAAGTCGGGGCGCCGGGGGAGGGGGCGGGTGGCCCCGGTAGATCCCCGGCGGCTCAGGCTTCCCTCCCCCGGGAGCAGGAAGCGGAGCCCCGCCCAGCAGACCTGTTACTGGAAGTCCGAGGGCAGGGCCGCCCCTCCCGTCCCCACTTCCTCCAGCCCCGCCCCACCCCCTGCGGCCCGCGCGTTTATGGGAACTCAGGCCTGGACGGTTTCTCTGAAATCATTCGCTCCCTCTGCCCTCACTTAACCCCGCCCGCGCGGAGAGGGACGGGGGCGGGGGGGGGGGGGGTGCGTACCGAGAGAAGCGGGGGAGGAAGAGACCCCTTCCCAGGAGGCCCAGGTCCAACCCCTCCCCAACATTTTTTTTTTTTTTTTTAAATTGGGCTTTCAAGGATTAGGGTCCAGGTTCCGCGTTCCTCCTGCATAATCTCCCCCTGGGAGGTGGATGATACTTCACAAAAGAGAAAACCGAGGCTCAGAAGGGCCACGTGCCTTTGCCTTAGCGCACACAGCTAGGGAGGACACCCCCATTTGCAACCCTGGCCTCCTTAGCCCCCTCCCCCCCCAAAGCCCTCTGGGCTGCTGGGTGTCTCCATCCCCAGCCAAGCACCTAGGGAGCTGGTCCAGGATGCACATTGTCCAGCTGGGAGCAGTTGGTCCAGTAACTGGACTTGGAAAGGTTGTGTGGGCTGCGTACTTGCAGTCAGCCTTGGGCCCTAAGTGCCAGTGTCCCCGACCCTGAGCAAGTAGGCGAAGGCCCATGCACAGTCATCCCAGATTGCCCTCCGCTTGGATTGGCTGTTGCAGGTTGGGGGCCCTGGGAAGCTGGCAGAAAGCTTATGGGCTGGGCCCGGGGAGAAGTCGAGCTGCTGTGCATCCCACAGGGGAGGTGGCAGCTGGAGTGGCCTTCGCAGTTGAGGCCAGAAGGCCAGGCCCTTTATGCCAGACATTGTGTCCCCCTGGATGGTGGCTGCTCCCCTCATGACCGGGCAGACAGTGCTCCTGGGCAGAGGGTAATTCCCAGAGAAAGCGGAGAGCTGATAGCCTTCCCAGAAGCTGCGGGAATGAGCCCTTCCTTTGCACAGCCCAAACTCCAGAACAATGACCCCATCCCACTTCCCTTTGGGGCCAGACTTTCTCCACTCTTTTCTCCGCTGAATGGGATGTGGAGTCACAACCGATGGAGACTTTACTGGCATCTAGTTCATCCCCACTCATTTCACAGACGAGAAAACTGTGGCCCCAAAGGGGTGGGAACGTGGTCACAGGCTTCGAGGATGGCCAGGGATCATTGGGATGGATTCATTTATTCAGCGCATGTTCACAGAGCACCTGCTCAGCCCTAGGCACTGCCCTAGGCACTGGCCGGTGACCTAAGTAGACAAAACACCCTGTCCTGGTGGAGTTAACCTTCTGGGGGGGGGGGGGGGGGGCGTGGGATTCAGACAGGAAACAAGTAAACTGTACAATGTCAAGTGGAGAGAAGTTAAGCAGGGTAAGGAGGAGGAGGAGGGAGCCGATGCCATTCCATTTTGGCAGAGGCCTGCAGAAGCGTGTTCCAGGCCGAGGGAACAGCCAGTGCTAAGGCCCCGGGAGGCAAGCATGCGTGTTATGTTTGAGTAACAGCAAGGAGGCCAGTGGTCAGAGCCGAATGCGGAGAGCAGATGGAGAGGAGGTCAAAAGGGTTGAAGAGCGGGAGACAAGATCACTCAAGGCCTGTGGGTCATGCGAGGACTTGGCCTTGACTCTGAGGGTTCTGAGCCGAAGGGGGGGGGGGGGCGCATGCCTGGACGAGGGGTCTAACAGGGTCCCTCTGGCTGCTACGTGGGGGACAGACAGTAGGGCCATGGTGGAAGCAGTGAAGCCAGTGAGGAGGAGACGGTCCAGGATGATGGGGGCTGAGTCAGGATGAAGGGAGTGGGGGTGGGAGGAGTGACTGGATTCTGGAGATATTTCCAAAGTATCGGCACATATTGGAGAAAGCGCTGCTAAGAGCATGGGGGTGAGAGGTGACCGGCCCCTAATGTCTGTGACCCTCACCCCCAGGCCACTCCACATTGCCGTGGTGCAGGGCAATCTGCCAGCTGTGCATCGACTCGTCAGCCTCTTCCAGCATGGGGGCCGGGAGCTGGACATCTACAACAACCTCAGGCAGGTGAGGCTGGGGCCTGGGGCCTGGAGCCTGGAGCCTGGAGCCTGGACTCCTGGGTCTGAGGGAGGAGGGGCTGGGGGCCTGGATTCATGGGTCTGAGGGAGGAGGGGCACCAGATTTCTGGCTCCTGAGGAAGACTGCAGCTGGGGGTCAGGACTGGGAAATTCTGAGGGAGGCAGGACTAGGACCAGGGCAGGGCACACACGGGTCCCTCACAGACTCTGTTCCCCAGACGCCGCTACACCTGGCTGTGATCACCACTTTGCCGTCTGTGGTCCGGCTACTGGTGATGGCCGGTGCCAGCCCCATGGCCCTGGACCGCCATGGCCAGACAGCAGCCCACTTGGCGTGTGAGCACCGCAGCCCGACCTGCCTGCGGGCCCTGCTGGATAGCGCGGCCCCGGGCACAGTGGACCTGGAGGCCCGCAATTATGACGGTGAGTACGGGCTCGGGCGCAGGGTGGGTCTGTCGGGCAGGTCCTGGCGGCCTTCTGAAGCTGCAAAGTCCCAGGCGCGTGCTTGACCGAACCTCCCTCTCCTTTAGGGCTCACTGCCCTGCACGTGGCCGTGAACACCGAGTGCCACGAAGCGGTGCTGCTCTTGCTGGAGCGTGGCGCGGACATCGACGCGGTGGTGAGCAAGGGAGCGAGGGCCAGGGATGCGGACAGGAGGAGCGGGGCCCACAGAGGGCGGGGCTGCGTGGGAGAGCGCCTGCGTGGGCGGGTGGGGCTTGAGGGCTCCGTCCAGCTTGAGCGGTGGGGATGCGGGCCGCCAGCTGTTGGGTCAGAGCTCGGAACGACTCAAGGGCCTTCCCTCCCCGCCGCAGGACATTAAGAGCGGCCGCTCCCCACTCATCCACGCCGTGGAAAACAACAGCCTGAGCATGGTGCAGCTGCTGCTGCAGGTGGGTGCGCCCTGCCCGCGGCCTCCCCCACCCTTTCCCCCGGCACCAACCCGCCATCGCCCCCTTTGCGTCCAGATCCGACCCTTCCTTCAAGGCCTCGTTCTGGCCGCCCTAAGACTTTACCCCCAGGCTGCGGACTCTTCCTGGGCCCTCTGCTATTCCCCCGCCGCCCCCGAACGGCCCAAGCTCCGGCCAGCGAGAGCCTAGCAGGCCCGGTCCAGCGCTGTCCCGCGCAGACCCAGCCCCTTCCCCTCTCTGACTCCGCCCCGACTTCGGCCAGACCCGGAGTCTAGCGCGGTTTGATCCAGCGCCGCCCGCCTAGTCCCACGCTGACCCGTCGGGGATTCTAGCTCCCATCCTCCTCTCCATCACCAGCCCGCGAGTGGTCCAGCCCCGGGCTCTGGCCCCGCCCCTCCCTCTGGCCCCGCCCACCCCTGGCTCCGCCACCATCACCCTGGGTCCGGGCGCGGGTGGTCCTGCCCCGGGCTCTGGCCCCGCCCCTCCCTGGCCCCGCCCCCATCGCCCTGGGTCCGGGCGCGGGCTGGTCCTGACCCGCCCCTCCACCCCGCAGCACGGCGCCAACGTGAACGCGCAGATGTACTCGGGCAGCTCGGCGCTGCACTCGGCGTCTGGCCGCGGGCTCCTGCCGCTGGTGCGCACGCTGGTCCGCAGCGGCGCCGACAGCAGCCTCAAGAACTGTCACAACGACACGCCGCTCATGGTGGCGCGCAGCCGCCGGGTGAGTGTGCGCGGTGGCGGGGTGCGGGGCTGGGGGAGTCTGTTCCCCTAGAACAGACCCAGGGGTGTGCGTGTGCGTCTGTGCCCAGGCGTGGAGCGCAGAGGGTGGGTGTGAGGTCTAGACAGGAGGAGAGCCTGAAGCACCAAGAAAGGAGGCAACGTGCCCACCTTCACCTGCTGCTGTGCTCGCTGACAGACCCTTGAGCAAGCGGAGGTGGAGGGTGGGGGGGCCTGGTGGTGACCCCCATCTTCCTGCAGGTCATCGACATCCTGAGGGGGAAGGCCACGCGACCTGCGCCTGCGTCACAGCCAGAGCCCTCCCCTGACCGGAGTGCCACCACCTCCCCCGAGAGCAGCAGCCGCCTCAGCTCCAATGGTGAGAAACCAGCTCCAGCCCCAGCTCCCTCCTTCCTCCCGACCTTCCAGACCCGGCGCCCCTCCGAATCCAGGAGTTGGGACCCCGACCCCCTTCTCTCTGTATCTAGTCGCACTGCCCTCACCCACCTTCTCTCTTCTTCCCACAGGTCTTCTCTCTGCATCACCATCCTCCTCGCCTTCCCAGTCTCCTCCCAAGGATCCCCTTGGATTTCCCATGGCTCCCCCCAATTTCTTCCTCTCTCCCTCATCTCCACCTGCCTTCCTGCCCTTTGTCGGGGTCCTCCAAGCCCCTGGCCGGCCGGTGCCTCCCCCGCCAGCTCCAGGAGGCAGCTGAGAAGGATGGGGGGGCAGATCTTGGACTCATGAGGAGGGACCTCCCTGCCCTTGTGGAGTCAGCCCTCCTGGAAACTGTGAAGATCTCACTCTGCCCCCCCCCCCATCTTCGAACCAGGATTTGCACATGCATTTGCCCCCTCTTTTGAGCACAGATATCCCCCCACCTCGTCTTCCGTCTTCCGCCCAGGACTCTTTCCCCTGTTCTTCTCAGGCAACCAATCTCCTGTCTGGAATCCCACTCAATCATATATTTCCTTCTCCTCTCTCAGAGCTGGTGGAACCAGGGAACAGCTGCTCCCTCTGCCCTCCGCCCATGAGGAGGGAGAGACGGGCTGCTGCGGGGCACTTATAACGATGTAAATTATTAGGCATTTTTGGTTGGATTTCTTTTGTAATAAACTATTTTTGTAACATATCCCTGGCTTGTCTGGACCGCTTTCATGAGGAGGTCTGGAGAAGTGTGTTTGTGTGTGCACCCACCTGAAAGCCGTACCCCGCTGACTCCACGAGTGACCTGTGAGTCTCAGAAGGGTGACGGCCTGTGTGAGTGACACTAGGATTTCCGGCGTGTTCGGATGTTCTGTCATTGTGTCACTGAGCCATTGTTTTCGGGGATGACCGAATGTGTGACATTTTTCCAGGAGACCTTGTCACATTCCACAGTGACCCTGGGTGTGTGTGTTTCCGAGGAGTGCCACAGATGACTGGTGTGTGACACTGCGGTTGTCTCTGTGGCATTTGTGAGACCTGCGGTCGTCGTATGATTGTTTCTGTGTGCCTGCCTCTCTTGGTGTGTCACATTTTACTCAGTGGCTCTAGGGCCCCTGAATACAATGTCTGTGCCTTGGCTCTGTGGACACATCTCTTGTGAATCAAGCATTCCTTTCCTGTTACCACGCTAACAAAGCACCACAAATTAAGTGGCTTAAAACAACAGAAGTGTATTGTCTTATACTCCTGGAGGTCAGAAGTGTAAAATCCGCCCAGCAGGTGTGGCTCAGTGGTTCCATATCGACCCAGGAACCAGGAGGTCGCTGGTTCAATTCCTGGTCAGGGCACATGCCCAGGTTGCAGGCTCGATCCCCAGTAGGGGACGTGCAGGAGGCAGCTGATGGATGATGTTTCTCTCCTATTGATGTTTCTATCTATCTCTCGCCCTTCCTCTCTCTCTAAAAATCAATAAAGACATATTTTAAAAAAAGAAGTGTAAAATCAGTTTCTCTCGGCCAAGGTGTCCACAGGGCTGGTTCCTTCAGGCAGCTGTAGGGGAGAATCCGTTCCCTTGCATTCTCCAGCTCCTAGTGGTTGGCCTGCATTCCTTGGCTCCTGGTCCCTTCCTTGTGTCTACAACCTTTTGCTTCCATCTGTACATCTACTCTGATCTCCTGCCTTCCTCTTAGGAGGATCCTGTGATTACATTGGACCCAGGATAATCTCCATCTCAAGGTCCTTAACCTCATCCAGTCTGTAAAGTCCCTTTGCCACATAAAGTGACATCACAGATTCCAGGGATTAGGACGAGGAGGATATCGTTAGGAGCCTTGATTCAGCTGACCCCAGGTTCAATCAGAGAATCAGCGTTGCTAGGAGATTGCTATATGGATAAGAAATTTGCTACAGGAATTGACTGATCTTCAGGAAGGGAAGATGGGTGTGCAGTGGGGACAGCAGGGACAAGCTGGAACCCCTGAGGAAGGACTGGGGATCTAACAGCCCCCACTACCCCTGGCCTTGAAGAAAGGGCTGTCCTTCTAGAGAAGCTGATGACCTAGGTCCCATTGTAAAGGTCTTCATGAGTGATCATGTGTTTCTGAGTAATGGTAAGTGCTGTTTTTCTTTGCTTTTTTTTAAAATATATTTTATTGACTTTTTTACCGAGAGGAAGGGAGAGGGACAGAGAGTCAGAAACCTCGATGAGAGAGAAACATCGATCAGCTGCCTCCTGCACACCCCAAACTGGGGATGTGCCCGCAACCAAGATACATGCCCCTGACTGGAATCGAACCCGGGACCCTTCAGTCCGCAGGCCGACGCTCCATCCACTGAGCCAAACCGGCTAGGGCTGTTTTTCTTTTTTTTAATATTGTTTCTTACTGATTTCAGAGAGGGAGAGAGAAAGGAACATCAATGATGAGAGGATCATTGATCAGCTGCCTCCTGCACGCCCCCTACTGGTGACTGAGGAGCCCACAACTGGGGCATGTGCCCTTGACCAGAATCGAAACCCAGAGCCCTTCTTTCTGTCTGCAGGTGGACGATCTATATCCACTGAGCCAAACCAGCTAGGACTGTGCTGTTTTTCTTTAGTCCGGGGACCTGGCTGGGCCCTGGGGTCTTCATAAGACCTGGCACTTGTGAACATTCCTGCTGCCATGACTCCTACCACATGTTGTATCTGTGGGGCCAACTGCCTGAAATCTTCCTGGAAGGCACTGCTGGGTTCCGTGAATGGCTAGGTGTACATATGTGTGTGTGAACGCATGTACACACATCCATGCACGCCCACTTCCGGGTCAGCTCTGACTGGGTGACCTGTACGCTCCTGGCTCTCCTGACTTTGGTGTGTTTGTGACCATGTGGCTGTGTTTCTGACCCTGTCTCTGGGCTATGGTGTCCCTAGAGCCACTGACTTGGAAGGTATATTGGCTTAACGACCGTTAACTTGGTGACTTAAAACAGAAATGTATTCTCTCGCTGTTCTGGAAGCCAGAAGTCTAAAATCAAGGTGTGGGCAGGGCCACACTCTCTCCAATGGTTCTAGGGGAGAATTTTATTTATTTATTTATCTATCTATCTATTTACTAGAGGCCTGGTGCACGGATTCATGCACCGGTGGGGTCCCTCGGCCTGGCCTGTGGGTATTGGGCTGAAACCGGCTCTCCGACATCCCCCAAGGGGTCCCGGATTGCGAGAGGGTGCAGGCTAGGCCGAGGGACCCCACCAGAGCATGATCGGGGCTGGGGAGGGCTCCATGGCATGTCCGATCCACTGAACCCCAGCAGCAAGCTAACCTACCGGTCGGAGTGTCTGCCCCCTGGTGGTCAGTGCACATCATAGCGAGTGGTCAAACGGTCGGACACTTAGCATATTAGGCTTTTATTACATAGGATTTTTTTAAAATATACATTTTATTGATTTTTTACAGAGAGGAAGGGAGGGGGATAGAGAGTTAGAAACATCGATGAGAGAGAAACATCGATCAGCTGCCTCCTGCACGCCCCCTACTGGGGATGTGCCTGCAGCCAAGGTACATGCCCTTGACCGGAATCAAACCTGGGACCCTTCAGTCTGCAGGCCGACGCTCTATCCACTGAGCCAAACCCGTTAGGGCTACATAGGATATTTTTAATCCTCACCGGAGGATATGGTTTTATTGATTTTCAGAGAGAGAGAGAAACGTCAACATGAGAGAGAAACATCAATCCGTTGCCTCCTGCACATACCCTGACTGGGGATCGAACTTGCAACCTAGGTTTGTGCCTTGCCCAGGAATTGAACCCAAAATCTTTTGGTGTACTCCACCCAACAGAGCCACCCAGCCAAGGGTAGGGAGAATTCTTCCTCGCCTCTTCCCGCTTCTGGTGGCGCCAGCCATTTCTCAGCCCGTGGCTGCATCTCTCCAAGCTGTCTCCATCTTCACACAGACAGCCTTCTCCTCTGTGTCTGTGTCTCCTGTGTGTGTCTGTGTCTTCTCTTCCATCTCTGGTGACGACACTTGTCATTGGGTTTAGGGCCCACAAGAGTAATTTAGGGTGCTTATCTTTTTTCTTTTTTAGTTTTAGAAAAAGGAATGGAGAGGGAAGGAGGGAGGGAGAGAGAGAAAGAGAAAGAGAGAGAGAGAGAGAGAGAGAGAGAGAGAGAGAGAGACCAAAGTGAGAGTGAAATATCAATTGGTTGCCTTTTGCAGGAGCCCCAGGGATTGAACCAGAAACCTGGGTATTGCCTTGACGGGGAATCGAACCCACAGCCTTTTGGTGTACAGGATAATGCTTTAACCAAACTGAGCCACACCGGCCAGGGCAAGATCCTTTTTTTTCATATATATATATATACTTTTTAATTGATTTCAGAGAGGAGGGGAGAGGGAGAGACAGAAACATCAATGATGAGAGAGAATCATTGATCGGCTGCCTCCCGCACGCCCCACACTGGGACCAAGCCCACAACTCGGGCATGTGCCCTGCCCTGGAATCGAGCCGTGACCTCCTGGTTCATAGGTCGACACTCAACCACTGAGCCACACCGGCTGGGCAAGATCCTTCTCTTAATTACATCTGCAAAGACCTTTTTCCAAATGAGGTTACGTTCACAGGTTCCAGGGACATATCTTTGTGGGGGGCCACCATTCCGCACACTGCAGACGGTGAGTGTTGGGCCCTGGAAGCAGCCGTGTGGGAACTCCCCACGCCGTCGTCCCAGCACATGGGTACGGCCATGCGCAGTGACTGCCTCTCCAGCGGACCCTGAGCTCCAGGAGGCCAGGGCAGGGCCTCCTTCGACGCTGCTGCCCTTCCCACCGCAGCTAGCACACTGCCTGGCACGGAGCCGACCCTTGGGAAGGGCCGGTAAAATGAACAGCGATCGCACCCCGCTGCGTGATGGGGTCCGCGATTCTTTGTGGTGTGTCCGGTGCCCTGTCACAGTGTGTGACCAATTTGAGGCTGTGAACAGAGATGACCATGATGTCGTCCGGAGGCTCAGAGAGAGCAAGCCTCCTGTCCACGTCTGCTGCCTTCAACTCCCATGTTCATACTCATGGGCCCGCTTGCCTCTTGGGAAGGTTGTGTGTGGCTGTACCTATTCTTTTCAGCGAGTGCATGTGAGAGTGCAAGCACGCGCATGCGGGTGCTGCTGGAAATGGGTGCCAGTAACAGAAATGACACCCCGGTCATTGAGAGCACGGGCCCTGGGGTCAGAGCTGACTTCCTCGCTGTGTGAACTGGATCAAGTGACTCCCCAGCCCTGATCCTCAGTTTCCCCATCTGTAAAAATAAGGGCACAATAATAGCCTTTAGCCCTAACCAGTTTGGCTCAGTGGATAGAGCGTCAGCCTGTGAACTGAAAGGCCCAGGTTCGATTCCGGTCAAGGGCACATGCCCGGGTTGTGGGCTCGATCCCCAGTGGGGGACGTGCCAGAGGCAGCTGACCTATGATTCTCATCATGCATGTTTCTATCTCTCTCTCCCTCTTCCTTCCGCTCTGAAATCAATAAAAATATATTTTAAAAAGTAATAATAGCCTTTACCTTGCAGCGTTGTTGTGAGGATTAAACTCCAATGGATTGTGTACAGTGCTTACAACAGGACATGGCTCTGAAAAAGAACTTGACACATCGGAATGGCTGTTCTTATCATCTTGGACTTGGTTTTGGAGGACATAGAGGAAAAGCAGTAGAGATGATGGGACCTATTCTTTGCTCTGATTGGAAATTTGGATAAAGAAGGCCTAAGCAGACGTGTGTTAGCTAGACTTTTTATCCTGCTGTCACAACAAAAACTAAAATGTGTTGCGTCTTGAATGAGATGGAAGTTTATTTTTCTCTCACGTAAGGGCCTCGTTCCCAGCCAGGCCTAAAACAGTAGCTTGAGAATGTCAAATACCCTCGCTTCTTCCACCTCGCTGTCTGCCTTCACCGCATACTTCCACCAGGTGGCCCAACATGGCTGCTCCAGCTCCCGCCATCACATCCACATTCCACCGGCTGGGAAGAAGAAAAAAAAGAAAGTCAATTCTATGTTCCTTTAAGCCAGTGGTTCTCAACCTCCCTGATGCCGCGACCCTTTAATACAGTTCCTCATGGGGTGACCCCCAATTTCATTGTTACAAACTGAACATAATGAAAGCATAGCGATTCATCACAAAAACAATATGTGATTATATACGTGTTTTCCGATGGTCTTAGGCGACCCCTGTGAAAAGAGTCGTTCGACCCCCAAAGGGGTCGCGACCCACAGGTTGAGAACCGCTGCTTTAGGGCCACAACCCAGAAGTCGCACACATCACATTCTAGTAACTAGAATATAGTCCTTGGTGATGAGTATCGTGAGGGAGGCTGGGAAATGTAGTTTTATCTGGGCCACATGCACCCAGCTAAAATCCTGAAGTTCTGTTACAAAGGGAAGAGGGGAGATAGTTACAGAGGGACCACAGGGTATCCGTCGCACCAGGGCTCTGCTACCGAAGGCCTAGGTGACCCTTAGACAACAAGACTCTACTGCCCTGAGACATAGCTTCCTCATCTGTAAAATGGAAATAATATTCCACTCTGTGTTGGTGGGAGGGTGAGAATCCAATGAGACTGCAGGTGCCAAGTGTGTCACACAGGACCTGGCCATCAGCGGCCGGGAATGTGTGTCAGGAGGCTCCTTGTGCCGGTGGGTCCAGGCCACGGGCGATGTGCTTCCTTGTGAGGAACTAACCCTGGGTTCAAGAGCTGAACCCAGCACTGCCCTTGGTTAAGTTACTTCTCTAAAACAAAGACTCTGGCTTCTCCACACGTGGAAATCCCCTCCGCCTCCTGACCTCGGGACTGGGGCTGTGTCCTTCCACACCCATCTCCCTTCCTTCCCCCGGAGAGAGGCGGACTCCACGAAGGGGGTTCATATACAGGGTCTCCAGCCCCCCAGCCCTAGCACAATCCAGCACCCGTCCCTGAACCAGTGCCACCAAGGCAGGTCTCGCCAGCGATGCTCCTCGCTCTCTAGAGGCAGAAGTCATACTTTCAATCCTTGCTCAGGAGGCCCCAAGCCTTGCTGCAAAGTTTCACTTGTGATCAGCATCCTGGGTAAACCCAGACATTCAGAGACTGTCTCTTCAGGTGCATGCGTGAAAGCTACCAAATGTGAGCGTGGGCATGTTCACTGAAAAACATAAAAATACATAAATAAATTTCAAGAGCATGAGAGCTGCACACAGCACATCTGCTGGTTAGGTATGTTTGCAGACCCTCCTGTAAGCCTCCATTTTATTTTTAATGTATTTTTCTTGATTTCAGAGAGGAAGGGAGAGGGAGAGAGAGAGAGATAGAAACATCAATGATGAGAGAGAATCATTGATTGGCTGCCCCCTGCACGCCCCCTCCTGGGGATCGAGCCCACAACCCGGGCATGTGCCCTGACTGGACATTGAACCCGTGACCTCTCGGTTCCTCTGAGCCACACCCAGCTGGGCCTATTTTATTTTTAAAAAATATGTTTTTATTACCCTAGTCTAGCTGGTTTGCTCAGTGGATAGAGCATCAGCCCTATCCAGTGAACGGTCCTGGGTTCAATTCCACTCAAGGGCATGTACCTTGGTTGCAGGATCAGAGCGCATGCGGGAGGTCACTTATATCTGTGTCTCTCTCACATTGATGATTCTCTCTCTCTCTCTCTCTCCCCTCTGAGCCCACAACCTGGGCACGTGCCCCGACCAGGAATTGAGCCCATGACCTCCTGGTTCATTGGTCGATGCTCAACCACAGAGCCATACTGGCCAGGCCACACCTCCATTTTAAAAAAACGGGAAACTGAGGCCCAGAAAGGAAAGAAACTGACCTGGTGAGTCTATGAGTCAGAGATTCCATGTTTCACCTTAACCAAGTGATGGAATTCATCACCAATAACGTGACGGACCAACATCATGTTACCTTCTGACCCGATACACTAAGAAGGACACCACATCCTGCTGCCAGAACCTAATCACAAGGAAACATCAGACAAACCCAAATCTAGGGGGACCTCTTACAAAGGAACTGGCCTGTCATGTTTAAAAATGTCAACTCTGTGAAACACAAAGGAGGGCTGAGCAATGGCACCAGACATGACCTCAGATTGGATCCTAGGCTGGAAAGTAACGTTTTGTTAAAAAGGACAGTTTGGTGCTCGCGTAGGCAGCACATATCCTAAAAAAATTGGAACGATATAGAGAAGATTAGCATGACCCCTGTGCAAGGATGACACACAAATTCGGGAAGCGTTTCATATTTTAAGAAAAAAAAGGACAGTTTGGGGCCCTAGCTGGTTTGGCTCAGTGGGTAGAGCGTCAGCCCGTGGACTGAAGGATGCCGCTGGGTTCGATTCCGGTCAAGGACACATGCCCGGGTTCCAGGCTCGATCCCCAGTAGGGGGCGAGCAGGAGGCAGCCAATCGGTGATTCTCTCTCATCATGGATGTTTCTATCGCTCTCTCCCTCTCCCTTCCTCTCTGAAATCAATAAACATATATTTTGAAAAAAGGACAGTTTTGGGACAACTGGTGATTTGACTATAGACTGAGTTAGATACTAGTACTAGTGTTGTATTACTGTTAAATGCCCTGCTTTTGATAGCTGTGCTGTGTGAGAGAATGCCCATAAACGTGGAAATACACTAAGGGGCAAAATGTCTGAAACTTACTCTCAGATGGTTGGGGAGGCGGGGAAGAGAGAAAGCAAACTGGTGAAGTGTTAACAATTGGTGAACCTGGATGAAGTTACACAGAAAGCTTTGTCTTATTCTTGCAACTTTTCTGTAAGGTTAAAATGATTCCAAAAAGGAAAAAAAAATGATTGCAAATTAAAAGTCATGGTTGTAAGGCTTGTGTTTCTGAGAGTATCTAGTCTGTGCTTGCATCTGTGGTCAGTTTGGGGAGTTGGGAGGGTGAATTCGCTGCATCAGACACTGCCTTGAGGTTTGACTAGGAACTTAGGGGGCGGTTAGATTTTGGGGGTGTGGCCAGAGTCTCAGAGGCGTGGTTGGGATGAGAGGCAGGCCGCATCCAAGGTTCAGACCTCGGGGCGTGGCCAAATTCTCCGAGGTGTGGCCAGAGTCTGGGGCAAAGCCTGAGAAATTCTGTTCCCAAGGGAGGAGTTGTCTGTACTTAGAGCGCCCTCTTGCGGCTACCCTGAGATCTGACCTGACTTTTTTTATATATATATTTTTTTATTGATACCAGAGAGGAAGGGAGAGAGAGATAGAAACATCAATGATGAGAGAGAATCCAACCATGACCTCCTGGTTCATAGGTCGATGCTCAACCACTGAGCCACACCAGCCAGAAAGAGCCCTGCCCTTTTAAAAAACAATTTTATAGAGATAATGCATATACCCAGCAATTTAACTATTTAAAGTGTACAATTTGCTGTAACCAGTTTGGCTCAGTGGATAGAGTGTCGGCCTGCGGACTGAAAGGTCCCAGGTTCGATTCCAGCCAAGGGCATGTACCTTGGTTGCGGGCACATCCCCAGTGGGGAGTGTGCAGGAGGCGGCTGATTGATGTTTCTCTCTCATTGATGTTTCTGACTCTCTATCCCTCTCCCTTCCTCTCTGTAAAAAGTCAATAAAATATATTTTTTTAAAAAAAGAAGAGTGATTTTAAAAAATAAATAAATAAAAATAAAGTGTACAATTCCATGGTTTTAGTAAGATCAGGAGTTGTGCGATCATCACCACAATCAATTTGAAAACATTTCTTCACCCAGCCCCCTTCAGCCTTAGGCAACCCCGAATATACTTTCGTCTCTATAGATTTGCCTATGCTGGACATTTTACATAATCAAATCATACGACCTGTGACTGGCTTCTTTCACTTAGCATCATGTTTTTGAGGTTCATTCGAATTTTAGTATGTTATCAGTAATTCGTTGCTTTCAGTGGCCAAATAATAGTCCATTGTATGGGTATACTGATTTAATTTATCCCTTTATCAGTTGAACATTTAGGTGTTTTCACAAATCTTTGCATGGGTATATGTTTTCTATTCTCTAGGATATCTATACAGAGGAGGCTGGGTCATATGAAAATTCCATGTTTAACCTTCTGAGGAGCTGCCAGACTGTTCTCTAAAGCAGTGGCACCGTTTTACATTCCCACCAGCAGTGTGCTGCGCACAGCCCCTCCACGACTTATTACCATAGCATCCTGGTGGGTGTGAGGTGGAGTCTCACTGTGGTTTGCACTTGCCTTTCCCTAACGGATAGTGATGCTGAGTATCTTTTCCTGTCATCCACTTCTTTTGTATCCACTATGCAACCACATGAACTTTTAACCATGTTGCCATATCTGAGCCAGCTTTTTTTTTTTTTTTAAATATATTCTATTGATTTTTTCACAGAGAGGAAGGGAGAGAGATAGAAAGCTAGAAACATCGATGAGAGAGAAACATCGATCAGCTGCCTCCTGCACATCTCCCACTGGGGACGTGCCTGCAACCCAGGTACATGCCCTTGACTGGAATCGAACCTGGGACCCTTCAGTCCGCAGGCCGACACTGAGCCAAACCGGTTTCGGCTGAGCCAGCTTTTTAAAACGAAAACATTAATGATGTTGAAGTCCCAGTGTATCCTTCTCAGAGTCCATCCTTTTCCTGCTCCATATCCTGCATTTATTGCTCAGCACCACCACACATTTTCCTACTATTATCATATACAAATGTATCCCCAATAATTTATAACACTGGTTTTGCAGGTTTTCAAGCTTGGTATAAATGACTAGAGGCCCAGTGCATGAAATGCGTGCACTGGTAGGTCCCTAGTGGCTGCCAGCTGCTGGCGAGGCCTCCCTCCCTTCCCCCAGCTGGTCCCACCCCCTGGTCAAACACCTGTATTAACTCCTTGTCAAGGGGACAATTTTCATACTATGCTTTTATTATATAGGATATCGTACTGTGTTAATTCTTCTGCACTTTTTTGTTTTTTGTTTTGTATTAGTTCCCTAGGACTGCTGTAACAAAGGACCACAAACTGAGTGAGTTAAACAACAGGAATTTGTACTCTCACAATTCTGGAGACTCAGAATCCAAAAATCAAGGTGTGGGCAGGGCTATGCTCCCTCTGACCGCTCCAAGGGTGGATCCTTCCTGGCCTCTTCCTGGTTCCTGGTGTTTGTCAGCAACCCTGGCATTCCTGGGCTTATATATGCATCACTCCAGTCTCTGCCTTCGTCATCATGTGGCTTTCCCTGTGAGTGTACCTGTGCCTGTGCCCAAATTTCCAGTCATATTGGGTTTGGGGTCCACCCTAATTCAATATGACCTCATCCAAACTTGGTGACACCTGCAAAAACTCTATTTCTAAATAAGGTCACATTCACAGGCTCCAGAGGACATGAATGGGTGGGGCTGGGGCACTATTCAACCCAGCACACTCACTCATCATGATGTTTCCACAATTCATGATATTGATATGTGTGTCCATTCATTCATCCGAACGGCTGTGTGGGAGTCCTTTGTGAGAGCACAGCACGATTTATTCATCCTTTCTCCTGGCGAGGGCACCTACCTTGTTCCAGTTTTCTCCCTTTCCCAGAAGGCTGCAGTTAGCGTCCTGGAACATGTCTCTTAGAGTTTCTTAGTTCAATATTTTTCAACCTGCCCAACAAGATCCATTAGCGGCTTGTGAAATCAATTTAGTGGGCTGCAAACAATTTTCCCTTTAATGAAATGGAATTAAATAGAATGAAAGATATTAGAACGCATGCGCACAGTCGGGGTAAGGCTCACTTACCCTGGGTAACTCTTTCAGGTGCACAATGTCCTGATGTGAGCAAAAGTGTTTGCAAGCCACATCTCTGAAGGATGTGCAAAGCCGTGAACTTGCCCTGTCAAAGGTCTGATGGGCCCCACCAATGTCACTTGTCCATTGACACTTCCATCAGCTCCTTGTCAACACTTGGCATAGCCGAAAATTTGAATTTTTGCCGGGCCACTGGGGTTTCACCCTATTTTGGGGGAGGAGGAAACTAGGCTGACTCAGAGGTCAGCAACGCAAGAAGCTGGGCGGCCGACCTGGCCACCCGGAGAGCAAACACCCAGTCTCCGCTTAGTCTGAGGTGCAACGTCGAAGATTCCCCAAGTTAATGATTCTCCGTTTCTAAGAGATGGGGGAGGAGGGCTGAGCTCTCATCCTAAACTCTCTCCCCCTCCGTCCCCCTCCAAGGGTTTTTGAAAATCCAGTGAGAAAAATGTAGTTTGACACACAGGTCCCGACAGAGAGTGTTCAATAACTGTTAGGCATTAATATTCTCCTCTGACTCAAAATTCTCTAAATAGGTGTACATCTGCGACCCGAACCTGGCCTGGCCGCCCGGGGGCGTGGCCTGCGGCGGTGGGCGGAGGCACCGCCCGGCCCACAGCGCCCCTGGTGGCCGCCCGGCGCGCAGCGGGGCTGAGCACCTGGCACAGGCGGCGCAGGTTGGTGAGAAAACCACGCTCCCCCAGCTCAGCGCCCAGCAGCGATTTCCTAGGAACCCAAATTCTTTCTTTTTTTTCTTTTCTTTTTAACATATTTTATTGATTTTTTACAGAGAGGAAGGGAGAGGGATAGAGAGTTAGAAACATCCATGAGAGAGAAACATCGACCAGCTGCCTCCTGCACACCCCCTACTGGGGATGTGCCCGCAACCAAGGTACATGAACTTGACTGGAATCGAACCTGGGACCCTTGAGTCCGCAGGCCGACGCTCTATTCACTGAGCCAAACCGGTTAGGGCATCTTTTTAAAAAGATATTGTTATTGATTTCAGAGAGGAAGGGAGAAGGAGAAAGAGAAATATCAATGATGAGAATCGATTGGCTGCCTCCTGCACGCCCCACACTGAGGCTCGAGCCCGCAACCCGAGCATGTGTCTTGACCGGGAATGGAACCCTGACCTCCTGGTTCATAGGTCCACGCTCAACCAACCACTGAGCCACGCCAGCCGGGCTGTCGTCAAAATATATTTTTAATATATTTTTATTGATTTCAGAGCGGAAGGGGAGGGGAGAGAGATAGAAACATCAATAATGAGAGAGAATCGTTTGGCTGCCTCCTGCAGGCCTCACACTGGGGATGGAGCCTGCAACCCAGGCATGTGCCCTTGACCGGAATCGAACCTGGGACCCTTCAGTCCTCAGCCTGACGCTCTATCCACTGAGCCACACGGCCGGGCTGTCACCTAATTCTTGCTCCCCCAGACACCCTCCCCACCAAGCCCTGCTCCTAAGGGACTCGGGGGGTCTGGTCACGCCGTGTTTCCTGCTCGGAGACAAAGGGATCGCACTATCTCCCTGACCCTTCCTCCTAGAAAGCTCAGCTCTGACCTTTACTCCGTGTCAGGACCAGAGATCCAAATCTTCAACGTCACCCGGGAGTGCCAAGTCCCAGTGGTGCCGACAGGACCCAGCCCTGCCCCCGCCCCCAGCAAAAGTCCAGGTCTCCCCCACCCCCCAGGCCCGCAGCCCCTCCCTAACCGGGCCCAGGCATCCTACCTGTGACCCCCTCCCACCCGGGAACCACCGCCCATCGCCAGCCACCGGAGCACCCCACCTGGTGGTCCTTTGGGATCAGACTTCTTTTTTTTTAAGTATATTTTATTGATTTTTTACAGAGAGGAAGGGAGAGGGATAGAGAGTTAGAAACATCGATCAGCTACCTCTTGCACACCCCCCACTGGGGATGTGCCTGCAACCAGTACATGCCCTTGACCGGAATCGAACCCGGGACCATCCAGTCCGCAGGCCGATGCTCTATCCACTGAGCCAAACCAGTCAAGGAATGGGATCAGACTTTCGAACCCTCTCTGTAGGGAACCCGGGTGCCAGCGCCCCAGAACCCGCCCTCTTTGGGGACAAGGTACCTGCTGGCCCCGCCCAGGTTCTCCAGGGCCCGCCCCCACCTGCCTGGGTGGGGCTGCGCCTCTCAGCGCCGCGCCCGGCCCTCCCGCACCCCGGAGCCCATGGCTGCGGCGGCGGCGGCGGCGGCCCCACGGCGGGGCCCGGGGGGAGAGACGCGCTCGCTCGGCCGCGCGGTGCGGCTGCTGCAGCGCCTGCAGGAGCAATGCGGGGACCCCCGGCTGTCCTCGAGCCCCCCGTCGCTGCCGGACCTGCTGCCCCGCACCGCGCAGCTGCTGCGAGAGGTGGCGCACGCCCGGCGGGCGGCGGGCGGAGGCGGCCCCGAGAGTCCCGGGGGTGCGGCGGACTTCCTCGTCCTCTACCTCGCCAACCTGGAGGCCAAGAGCAGGCAGGCGGCAGCGCTCCTGCCGCCCCGGGGCCAGAAGAGTGACAGCGACGAGCTCTTCCGAGAGGGGTCCATGCTCAGGTGAGCGGGGGTCCCATTACGGTGGGATCACCCGGGAGGCCCAGGTCGTGCTCCCCCTCTTCCTCCCTATGACCCAGGACTCCAGCCCCCAGCCCCTCCTCCCTCAGACCCAGGGGTCCAGGCCCCCAGCCCCGCCTCCCTCAGACCCAGGAGTCCAGGCCCCCAGCCCCTCCTCCCTCAGACCCAGGAGTCCAGGCCCCCAGCCCCTCCTCCCTCAGACCCAGGGGTCCAGGCCCCCAGCCCCGCCTCCCTCAGACCCAGGAGTCCAGGCCCCCAGCCACTCCTCCCTCAGACCCAGGAGTCCAGGCCCCCAGCCCCGCCTCCCTCAGACCCAGGAGTCCAGGCCCCCAGCCCCTCCTCCCTCAGACCCAGGAGTCCAGGCCCCCAGCCCCTCCTCCCTCAGACCCAGGAGTCCAGGCCCCCAGCCCCTCCTCCCTCAGACCCAGGAGTCCAGGCCCCCAGCCCCTCCTCCCTCAGGCCCAGGAGTCCAGGCCCCCAGCCCCTCCTCCCTCGGACCCAGGAGTCCAGGTCCCCAGCCCCTCCTCCCTCAGACCCAGGAGTCCAGACCCCCAGCACCTCCTCCCTCAGACCCAGGAGTCCAGCCTCCAGCCTCCTCCTCCCTCAGACCCAGGGGTCCAGGCCCCCAGCCCCTCCTCCCTCAGACCCAGGAATCCAGCCCCCAGCCACTCCTCCCTCAGGCCCAGGAGTCCAGGCCCCCAGCCCCTCCTCCCTCAGACCCAGGAATCCAGCCCCCAGCCCCTCCTCCCTCAGACCCAGGAATCCAGCCCCCAGCCACTCCTCCCTCAGGCCCAGGAGTCCAGCCTCCAGCCTCCTCCTCCCTCAGACCCAGGGGTCCAGGCCCCCAGCCCCTCCTCCCTCAGGCCCAGGAGTCCAGCCTCCAGCCTCCTCCTCCCTCAGACCCAGGAGTCCAGGCCCCAGCCCCTCCTCCCTCAGACCCAGGGGTCCAGGCCCCCAGCCCCTCCTCCCTCAGGCCCAGGAATCCAGCCCCCAGCCCCTTCTCCCTCAGACCCAGGTGTCCAGGCCCCCACCCTCCTCCCTCAGACGCAGGAATCCAGCCCCCAGTCCCTCCTCCCTCAGGCCCAGGAGTCCAGGCCCCCAGCCCCTCCTCCCTCAGACCCAGGAATCCAGCCCCCAGCCCCTCCTCCCTCAGGCCCAGGAGTCCAGGCCCCCAGCCCCTCCTCCCTCGGACCCAGGAGTCCAGGTCCCCAGCCCTCCTCCCTCAGACCCAGGAGTCCAGGTCCCCAGCCCTCCTCCCTCAGACCCAGGAGTCCAGCCTCCAGCCTCCTCCTCCCTCAGACCCAGGGGTCCAGGCCCCCAGCCCCTCCTCCCTCAGACCCAGGAATCCAGCCCCCAGCCACTCCTCCCTCAGGCCCAGGAGTCCAGGCCCCCAGCCCCCTCCTCCCTTAGACCCAGGAGTCCAGCCCCCAGCCCCTCCTCCCTCAGACCCAGGAGTCCAGGCCCCAGCCCCTCCTCCCTCAGACCCAGGAGTCCAGGCCCCCAGCCCCTCCTCCCTTAGACCCAGGAGTCCAGCCCCCAGCCCCTCCTCCCTCAGACCCAGGGATCCAGGCGCCCAGCCCCTCCTCCCTTAGACCCAGGAGTCCAGCCTCCAGCCCCTCCTCCCTCAGACCCTGGAGTCCAGGCCCCCAGCACTTCCTCCTTCAAACCAGGAGTTTAGGCCCCCAAATTGTATTATAAGGAAGTGATAAAAAGAATGTTCTTTATAATAAAATTACTGACATTTCTAATGGAAATGCCAAGGCACAATTACAATTATTCTACAATGCAGGATTGATGAGCCAGACACTTGCACACGAGGAGAGTCACTGTTGCTGGGTCAGTCTTCCCTTGATATATGGGAGAGTTCAATTTCTGTAAAATTCAGTATAAAGCCCTGGTGTTGCTCAGTGGTTAGAGCTTTGGTCTGAGCACTGAAGGGTCACGAGTTCGAGTCCCAGTCCAGGGTTGCAGGTCCAATACCCAGCCCCGGTCAGTCAGGGTGATGGTGGAAGGCAACCCATCAATGTGTCTCTTGCACACCAATGTTTCTCTTTCCCCCCTCCTCCCCTTCCAAGCTCTCTAAAATTCAATGGGGAAAAAATACCTTCAGGTGAAAATTAACAAAAAAATTAATGTGCTCTGACTGCCGAATGTGTGCTGGGTGTGCTAGGCACTTTATGTGCTTGTAAGAATCCTCATCACTCCCCCTGTGAGGGAGGGGCTGTACTTATGCCCATTTCAAAGTTGGGGAAACTGAGGCTTAGGGGGGGAAAAAAGGAACTTGCAAGCCCAGCCCATGTGGCTCAGTGGTTGAGCGTTGATCTATGAACCAGGAGGTCTATGAACCAGGAGGTCACGGTTTGATTCCTGGTCAGGGCACATGCCCAGGTTGTGGGTTCAATCCCCAGTGTGGGATGTGCAGGAGGCGGCTGATCAATGAGTCTCTCTCATCATTGATGTTTCTTTATAGTTTTTTCTTTATATTTTTTATTTTTATCTTTATTGATTTCAGAGAGGAAGGGAGAGGGAGAGAGAGATAGAAACATCAATGATGAGAGAGAATCATTGATCGGCTGCCTCCTGCACTCCCCCCTATTGGGGATGGAGCCCACAACCCGGGCATGTGCCCTTGACCAGAATCGAACCCGGGACCCTTCAGTCCGCAGGCCCACACTCTATCCACTGAGCCAAACCAGCGAGGGCCATCGATGATGTATATATACCGGTATATGTTTTAAAAAGGAATTTGTCAAAAGTCACGGAGCTAGGTGTCAGACTCCCTCTGCTGCTGCCCACGTGCTGATCCGTTCCTGGGGAAGCGGCCGCAGGAGGAAGCAGGGCTGCCCCCAGTGCTGCTCAAACCTGGAGGAAGGCCCCGAGCAAGACCTGCTGGCAGACCCCACGATGCCCTCAGCCCTAGTGTCCCCGGGAGCAACGAGGGAGGCTCCTCCCCTGGCCCCGGCTCTGGGCGTGGAGGCTGAGGATACCGGCCACACGCCTTTCCTTCCGGAGGAGGCAGCAGAGGCTCTGGGAGGGGGCGTCAGGGCCGCAGCAGACAGTGTTGGAACCGACTTCACCCTCCCCGCTGCCTCCGAGGCTGGGGCCTGTGGGTGTTCTCTGCAGGGGGTGGAGGTGTCCGTGGGAGCCCCGGGGTTCAGCCGGTGCTCAGAGCCCATCCCCACAGGCGACAGCTGGCCAAGCTGGCCCTTATCTTCAGCCACATGTACTCAGAGCTGAGCGCGCTCTTCCCCCGGGGAAAGTACTGTGGACACACATACCAGCTCACCAAGTCCGAAGCCCACGCCTTCTGGAGAGAGCATTGCGGAGCCCGGTGAGTGAGCACGGTCCCAGGGGCCCTTAGGGCCCCATCCTGTCCCTGCCCAGGGACCCAGGGGTCCAGGCCCCCAGCCCCTCCTCCCTCACACCCAGGGGTCCAGGCCCCCAGCCCCTCCTCCCTCACACCCAGGGGTCCAGGCCCCCAGCCCCTCCTCCCTCACACCCAGGGGTCCAGGCCCCCGCCCTCCTCCTCACACCCAGGGGTCCAGGCCCCCAGCCCTCCTCCCTCAGACCCAGGGGTCCAGGCCCCCAGCCCCTCCTCCCTCAGACCCAGGGGTCCAGGCCCCCAGCCCCTCCTCCCTCAGACCCAGGGGTCCAACCCCAGCTGCCTCTTTCCTAGATGTCTATCCTAGGCTCCCAGAGGCCTCACTTGCACCCCCGGTGCCCCTCTGCACAGGTGTGTGCTGCCCTGGGCTGAGTTTGAGTCTCTCCTGTGCACCTGCCACCCCGTGGAGTCAGGCTGCACAGCCCTCGCCTTGCGCTCCACCATCGACCTCACCTGCAGTGGCCACGTGTCCGTCTTCGAATTTGACATCTTCACCAGGCTCTTCCAGGTGGGGGAAGGCCAAGCCTGGGGGCCCAGATTCCGGTCCTATGGGAGGAGGGGGCGGGGTCCTTGACTCCTGGGTCCCCGGGGAAGAAGGGTCTGGAGTCTTTTCTGGAAAAGACAGATTCCTGAGGCCCACTGTGGTGTGAGCAAGGTGGCTGGGTGCTTGGACCCTAGGAAGCACCAGGAGAGGGGGCTGCTCCCTCAGCCCCTCCCTGACCCAAGCGCCACCCTCTCCAGCCATGGCCAACCCTCCTCAAGAACTGGCAGCTTCTGGTGGTTGACCACCCAGGCTACATGGCCTTCCTCACGTACGATGAGGTCCGCGCACGCCTGCAGGCCTGCAGGGACAAGCCAGGCAGGTAAAGGGCAGGCCTCGGGGGAGGGGGCTGCCGGGGTGGGGGTGGGGGGTGTCCAGGCTCTTGGTTCTGGGCTGGGAGGTGGTAGAAACCCAGACATCCTTCAGAGAAAACAAGAAAGAAAGAACTGAGGTTCCTGGGATCCTAGAGAGTGGAGAGCCCTGAGGTAGGGTACTGAGTGTCCCCTCCCACCCCACCTCTTCTCCTGAGGCCTCCTGGACCGTCCCATAATCCGGGATCTAAAGGGACAATACCTGCCTGGACTCTGAAGACCCTGCCCCAGGATAAGTTCTGTTTCTGATAGGTCAGAGCCCACACTGTGCCATTTATTAAAATTTTTTGTTAGTAATCCTCACCCAAGGATATTTTTCCATTGATTTTGTAAAATATACTTTTATTGATTTCAGAGAGGAAGGGAGAGGGAGAGAGAGCTAGAAACATCATTGATGAGAGAGAGAGTCATGGATCAGCTGCCTCCTGCACACCCCCACTGAGGACTGAGCCCGTAACCCAGGCATGTGCCCTTGACCAGAATCAAACTTGGGACCCTTCAGTCCGCAGGTCGACGCTCTATCCACTGAGCCAAACCGGCTAGGGCTCCACTGATTTTAAAGAGAGTGGAGAGAGGGAGAGAGAGAGAGAGAGACATTGATGTGAGAGAAAAACATTGATTGGTTGCCTCCAGCATGCACCCCTGGACCGGGAATCAAACCTTTGACCCTTCTGTGTGAAGGATGATGCTTCAACCACTGAGCCACGCTGGCCAGGGCTATTAAATATTTTTAATAGGAATTCCCATATCTGGGGTAGGAGACTGTGAGCCAGACACCTGAGTCCTGAAATTATTTCAAGCCAGGAGCTTTGCGCTGTTGGGTCTCCGCAGAGAGTTAAGAATTGAGGGCTGAGCTCCCTAGAATACCAAGAGGTCAAGGGAACAGGAGGTCAGATTGGTATTTGCAGGGCTGAGGTGCAGGGGCCCCCAGGACAGCACGTGTATTAGCACTTTCCCAGTTGCACTGCAAACTGGTTTAAAGGGAAAGAAAAAGGGACGAATTAATTCACATAATTGAAAAGACCACGTGTCTTTCCAGGCTTCAGGCAGAGCTGGGTCCAGGAGCTCACGTGCCATTGTCAAGAATCGGATCCTGTTTATCTATCCCCAGTCCCTGCTTTCGTCTGTGTTAGCTTGGTTCACAGACATGGTCTCCTCGCGGAGTCTAGAATCCCCAGCTGTATACCCTACCAGCTTAGCTACCCTGCAGAATGGGGTACCTCACTAGAACTCCCAGCAGAAGTCCCAGGGCTGACTCCCATCACTATGGTCAGGGGTCCTGAAGTGCACCGATTGGCCAAGCCAGAATCAACCTTGTCTAAACCCTGGTGATCGAGGAAGTAGGGCAGATAATAATATAAGGCCCATTGCCTAAAAAGCAGGAAGCCGGGTTATAAGGGGGTGAGAACTTAGGCACCTTGATTCCCAACAGTGTGAGGGGCTGGGAAGTCCCAGAAGGGACAGTGCTGACCATCCCCCCCCCCCCCCCATGCTACCTGCCTCTTCCTGCAGCTACATCTTCCGACCCAGCTGCACTCGCCTGGGGCAGTGGGCCATCGGCCACGTGAGCTCAGATGGCAGCATCCTGCAGACCATCCCTCACAACAAACCCCTGTTCAAGGCGCTCCTGGAAGGACAAAAGGAAGGCTTGTGAGTTCCCATCCTGGCAGGGGAGGGTGTCGGCTCGCTGCACTTCGCCCAGCGGACATCATAAACTTGCAATTCTGCAGTGTTCCGGCAGGTGGCAGGCGAGGCCTTGAGGAAGGGGTGCCTTTTCTAGTTCCCACAACGTTGCCATATGGGCCAACAGCAGTTCGGGGAGCGGCGTGGGGAGGTTGAGCACAGCCATTCCTTATCTCACTCGGAGCTTTTGCTGCTAGAGCTCCAGATCGTGTTACAGAAGCCAGACTGTTAGAGCAGAAAGAGAACCGGGCGAATAGCTGAGCTGGTGGTTTTCCTCCCGTAACCTTGGCTGACCCAGGGCCTCTCTCAGGAGCTGCCTTGGGGGCGAGGGGGAAGGCAGGTGAGGTCCGCCCTGGACCTTTCCCCTGAGCCTTCTTAGCAGTCATATCAATGCAATACAACCTGAGATGCATAGAGAGAGATGCAGCCGGTTCTCCTAATTCAGGTGCTCCCGTTCTGCAAAGTTTCAGCGGACACTGAGTTATCCAGTACTGAGCCCGCGCTCCTAGGGGAATACAGGGTTAGTTAGAGTCCTGCCAGACTGCTCACATTTCTGTCGACCAGTCACTACATAAAAACCTTTATGTGTGTTTCTGTTTAAAGAAACACACCTTATGTAATATAGTTCCGGGGTTCTTGTTCCAGCATTAAGAAGGGTTCAGCAATCTGGAGGAGGTTGTGCGTAGATTAAATAGGAGTCCAGAGACGAAGCATAATTTTGAAAGGCATTTGGGGGCCAGAGGAGCCTAGTTTAAAGGGAACTAAGATCTAAGTTCTAAGTTCTCAGGTCTCCTCGTCCCAGGACCCCATGCTTTTTATTAACACAATTTGTCCTGAGGCGAGGCAGAGATACACACTTCAAAGGGTATACACAAGCCTTGTCAGAATGGGGGAATTAGGCTACGGCTGTTCAGGTGTTTGGCCAGTAGGAGGCAATAACATGTAGATTAAGATGCCCTTTAACTGTCTGGCAGCCAAGAAATCAATTTAATGGATCCTATTCAGGCTTGGGGAAATGCCTTTAGCCATTCCCAGATTCAGCCCTGCTGTCATGCTGGAATCGGTCTCCGGCTATGTAGTAGTATATTGGGTTTTAGTTTGTTTTGTTTATTAAATACATTTTTATTTACTTCAGAGAGGAAAGGAGAGAGAGATAGAAACATCCATGATGAGAGAGAGTCATTGATCAGCTACCTCCTGCGCGCTCCACACTGGGGATGAGCCCACCACCCCGGCATGTGCCCTGACTGGGAATCGAACCGTGACCTGGTTCATAGGTTGATGCTCAACCACTGAGCCACGCTGTACTATACTGTATATTGCTGATTCATTAACAGTGAACACACAGCGAAACTAGGCCTTGGGGGCATTTTAAACTCGAGGTCACACACAAAAAAAGCACAAAAATGCGAGAGACACTGAATAGACGGTGAAAAGCACACTGGTTTACGGGATGGGAGTCGAACAAGGTGGGCAAGTGTTGCCGCGTTCAGCCTCACTGGGACCCTGCCTGTTGGGTGCCTGGAGTTTTCTGCCACTGTGCGCGCGTCCACGAACGGCCACACAAGCACCACGGGTATTGATCGGGGGTCACAAATTTTAGTGCATAGGCAAATTTTCAAATACAGAACCCATGAGTCGTAAACATCGGTTGTGTGTCCGTATACATTCATGCACAGACACACACATATTATTGTATTTGACAAACGGGGCGCAGAAAGACAGGCCCACTTGCCCAGGACACACAGTGACGGAACTGACCGGCTGGGATTTGAAGCCAGACAGCCAGGCTCAAAGTACTGGCCCTTTCCCACTCCCATGTCCTCAGTTCCAGGTGGCATCTCCTGGAGAAGGGCGTTCCAGAGTTAAAATAAGAGTGAACACTGTCGATGTCATTAACCTCCCTGCTACACACACACACACACACACCATCACCACCATCACCACCACCGTTTCACAGATGGGAAAATCGAAGCCCTGAGAGAGGGGAAGGGACGCCAGCTCTTTCCACCCCACGGCCAGTCGGCTTTCTGGGTCTGACGTGGATCATAGCAGTTCCCTCTTATTGGTCGTTTATGTGTGGAGAAGGAGTGCTGCACTGTCTTATTTCATCCGTACCGCCCATCTTTGCCCTAAGCATGAGTATGTCCATTTTACAGAAGGGAAAACTGAGGCCAGAGAGGGAGAGTTGCCCAGCCCAGGTCACACAGTGTGTTTGTGGGAGAGCTGCCCCTGTTTGTGGGCCCAGGTCAGGCAGAGCCATCAGCTTTAGGAGACGTGTGACCCCGCTGTTGGTCTGAAGGTGCGGTTCTGACCTCAATGGGAAACCCAAAGGTGCTGAGCCTTCTCGCCTGCCCTGGGTCCTGGAGCTTGGACCTGCCCACAGCCCTGGCCTGCGTCCCTCCGGGCCTCACTGGTGACCTTGGGTAGTCGCCTCTCCCACACTGGGCCTCAGTCTCCAGCTATGAAGCAAGAGGAAGCAGTGTGGGTGTCCAGGAGGGTCCTGGTAGCCCTGCTGGTCCAAGACTCTAGGATCTGGTCCCTCCAGGAATCTGTGACTCAGATGCTGTTATGCTCAAGCCTGAAGACTAGGACGGTGACGTTCTGGGAGAAGGAGGCCTGGACTTTGATCCGTTTCCTGGTTCTCGGTCATCTGATCCATGTTCCCAGGGCTCGAGTCACTTAGGTGATGAGTGCTCAGTCTGTGGGGGTCTGAGGGCCCGTGGCCCTGCCCCAGGAGCCTGCGGGAACATAGCTGGTCCTAGAGAGTGTCGGTTTGAGGAGAGAGGGAGAAAAATTTCCCCAGGCCAGCAAGAGATGTGGGGCAACTGCTCATTCAGGAGCTCTGGGCCCCGGGGTGGGGCCGGGGGAGTCCTTGTTAGTCTGCGGGGGGCGGGCTGGGCCCCCTCTGTAGCCCTCTGTTCCCTCCCCAGCTACCTCTACCCAGATGGGAAGAACCATAACCCAGACCTGACTGAGCTCTGCCACATGGAACCCCATCAGCTCATCTACGTGTCAGAGGTGAAGCTCAGGCCCGTGCCCCGCTCCCCGCCCCACCACACCCCCCGCCCCCCCCCCCCCCCCCCACACACACACACAACACACACACGGCTCAGGAATTCCCTCTCACCGAGTCAGGCCTGGGATCCCAGAGGCCTTGGGGTTTCGTGCTGGTGTGATGGCCATGGGGCCCGAGGTAAATAAATCACTTGGCCTCTCTGAGGTTCTGTTCATTCTCTGGAAAACAGCCCCGCCTGCCACTGCCCAGGGGTTTTCCTGGGGTTAGACCAGGAAATGGTACTTCTGAGGTCAGCAGCACAGCTGATGCGCTTGAGCACTCACAGCCCCTGTCCCTTGGTCTGCGCAGTCACCCCGTGTGTGGAAGAGAAACAAGTACATTTTTTTAAGTGTAAGTATATCCCACACACTGTTTGGGACATACTTACACCTAAAATACCAGACTTTTTCCTTTATTCTTTGTGCTTCTGAAAATCAACTGTAACAGGGCATCCTGTATTTTTTAACATCACCCAAGGGATGGTTTTTTAGAGATAAAGGAAGAGAGAGAGAAACATCCATCGGCTGCCTCCCATAGGCCCCCCCAACCAGGTATCGAACCCGCAACCGGGGCATGTGTGCTGACCAGTCATCGATCCTGCAACCTTTTGGTGCACGGAACGGCACTCCAAGCGCATCCGGTAATTTTAGTGGCTAAATCTGGCAACCCTGAGAGCCGGCTACCCCAGGGAACACATCTCACAGCTCCGGGTACATGTAGGAGGTAGCAGACACGCCCTGGAACCTGGGAGAGGGTCGGGGGCTGGCCCGGAGGCTCGGGCCCTTCTCCTGTGGCCCGGCTCTGTGCCCCTGGCTGACGTCACCACCGTCCATCTCCTCACCTGCCAGGAGCAGCTGCAGCTGTACTGGGCCATGAACTCCACCTTCGAGCTCTGTAAGATCTGTGCTGAGGCCAACAAGGACGTGAGGATCGAGCCCTGTGGGCACCTGCTGTGTAGCCGCTGCCTGGCCGCCTGGCAGGTGGGTCTCCCCTCTCCTGAAGGGTCTCCCCTATGTCTCAGGGATCAGATGGGAAAACGGAGGCCCAAGAAAGCAGGGACTCGCTCAGGGTCACTCAGGAGCGAGGGCCTGGAGCCTGGCTGGCTGTGTCTGTGTGTCTGTCCCTGTCTCACTCTGCCGCTGTCACCTCTGCTTCTCCTTCTCCGGCTACATTATTCATGGACAGAGCTCCTCCCTTCCCTCGCTGGGCAACCTGGGGCCTGTGGCTTCACCTCTCTGAGCCTCCGCCTCGTCTCTGGAGAACGGAGCTGACCCTGGTCACCTCCCAGACCCACAGTGAGGGTCCAAGCCCTCAGGGAAGGCCCCTTGGGGAGTGGAGCTGAGGCCGGTGCATGACATCACCTACTTTTTACTGTAATGTAAATGCCTGACATTAAGCTGAGTCATCCATTTCAAAGATACCCATTTCCAGTAAACAAATTGCTAGATGTATGACACAGCAAAACTAAGAGATAAGGAACCAGGCTGCCCCCACCCATGAAGTTCCCCTTTATTTTATTTATTTATTTAATACTAGAGGCCCGGTGCAGGAATTTGTGCACGGGTGGGGGCGGGCCCCGCATGGGGATCAAACGGTGTTGAGGGGCCCTGGGAGGGCTCCAGGGCATGTCCAGCCTCTCTTGCTCAGTCCCAATCAGCCGGACCCCAGCAGCAAGCTAACCTACCAGTTGGAGCGTCTGCCCTCTGCAGTGCACATATAGCGACTGGTCAACCTTTGACTGTCTGCCCCCTGGTGGTCAGTGCACGTCATAGTGAGTGGTTGAACAGTCTTAGCATATCATTAGCATATTATGCTTTGATTGGTTGAATGGAGGACCGGACACTTAGCATATTAGGCTTTTATTATATAGAATTTGTTATAGATTTCAGAGAGAGAGGAAGGGAAAGGGAGAGCAAGATAGAAACATCAATGAGAGAGAATCATGGATCAGCTGCCTCCTGCATGCCCCCCACTGGGGATCGAGCCCCCAACCCGGGCTTGTGCCCTGACTAGGAATCGAACCGTGGCCTCCTGGTTCATAGATCAAAGCTCAACCACTGACCCACGCCGGCCGGGCTGAAGTTCCCCAGTAGAAAGCCCTGGGGAACCTACTTAAGTGACCCAGGCTTTTTCCTTTCTACACCCTAATTCCTGCTCCTGTGATTTTTTTGTTTTTAACCCTCACTTGAGGATATGGTTTTTAAAAAATTGATTTGAGAAAGAAACATTGATGAGTTGCCTACTCTGTGCCCCCGAGGGATGGAGCTGGGATCGAGCCCACAACCCAGGCATGTACCCTAACCGGGTGGGACCTGAAACCCTTTTGTTGTACCGGACGATGCTCCAGCCAACTGTGCCACCCGCCCAGGGCCGCTCCTATGCTTGAAGTTCACCAATGAAAAGTGAACCCTTGCCCAACCGGTGTGGCTCAGTGACTGAGCGTCGACCTTTGAACCAAGAGGGCTTGATCCCCAGTGGGGGGTACACAGGAGGCAGCCAATCCATGATTCTCTCTCATCATTGATGTTTCTCCCTCTTCCTTCCTCTCTGAAATCAATTTAAAAAATTGTTTTAAGTGAACCTTTGCCCTAGCCAGTGTGGGCCAGTGGTTAGAGTGTTGGTCCACAGCCTGAAAGCTTGTGGGTCTGATTCTGGTCAAGGGCACGTACACGTTGGTTGCACATGCAGGAGGCAACCAGTCGATGTGTCTCTCTCACATCAATGTTTCTCTCTCTGTCTCTCTCTCTCCCTTCCACTCTCTCTAAAACCCAATGGAAAAAAATACCCTCTGGTGAGGATTAACAACAACAAAAGAAAAGTGAACCCACCAAACCCTAACCACCCCACTTGGCCCCTAAGAAAGGCAGACCCCATGTCCATGCACCCTCCCGCGACCTCCTTGTGTCGCCTTGGGTATGCCTCGTGCCCTCCAGGATCTGAGTAATGAATCTCGTCCTCCCAAGTTCCCTGATGGCTTTTGCTGAGGTGCATCCTGCGGCCATAATAAGAACCACCAGGGCTGGTCCAGCCACAACACTGGCCCCGGTTGGGGGGAGGTATCTCTGGGGGCGAGTGTCTCAGGCCTTCCTCGCCCATAGCATCACCGTCCATAGCTGGGGCCCACACTCTGGCTCCCCATTTGTGCACACCCCTGGCCTCGGGCTCTGGTCCAGTCCCTCCTTCCTGTCCTGCGTCTCTCTCCATGGCTCCCCCCTCCCTCCTCTCCGTGGGCCTCCCTCTGTCTGTCCTCCCCACCTCACTCTGCTGGAGATGAAGGCCCTGTGGTCCCAGAGGACTTGGAGAAGAACCGGGAGACGCTGACTCCCTCCCCCCCACCCCCCGCCCCCAGCAATCAGACAGCCAGGCCTGCCCCTTCTGCCGAAGCCAGATCAAGGGCCGAGAGGTCGTGAGTATCCGTCGGTCCCAAGGGAGGCGAGCGGAAGCCAGGGCCACCGCTGAGGACTCAGGGAGCAGCGATGTCCAGGAAAACAGCGAGGACGAGCTGGGGCAGGTAAGCAGTGCCAGGCGGGAGCCGGAACTAAAATTCTGGGGCCCGAGGGAGAAGGGGGCTGGGGGGCCAGACTCCTGGGTCTGAGGGAGGAGGGGCTGGTGACAGGATTCTGGAGTCCTAGGGGCCTGTTCCCCTGGGACTATGGCTCCTCCAGTCTGAACCCTCCTGTGGGTTAGACTCTGCCTTATTCTCCATTATTTCTGCAATGTCTGGAACAGGCCTGGTGCTGGGACGCCAGGCAGGAAGACATAACCCCCTGTCTCCCCTAGGTGGTCCCCTCAGCGCCCCCACTGCCCCCTCGCCTGGATCTGCCTCCTGAGCATCCCAGAAGTAAAGGCCAGCTGAAGGTGGTGAGTGAGGCACTGGTCGGAGGTGGGCAGCTGGGGTCTCCTTCAACCACAGGGTCCCTAGTCCAGCCAGGCCCTCGGGGGTGCCAGGCACTCACTCTCGGCCCCCGTTGACAAGGTGCTGTGTAATTTGGCATCCATCCCTCTAAGGCCTCTTCTCTTGTGCTCATCCTCCCTCGTCCCCCATCACCGGCTTCCTGGCTCTCCTTCCAGCATCCCGGGCAGGTCCTGCCTGCCCCAGGGCCTTTGCACAAGTGGTTCCTTCTGCCTGGATCTCCTTTATCCAGGCTCACTTTCTCATCCTCTCCTTCCTTCTGTGCCCACCCTATTGACCACAGAGCCCCAGTCCTGCCAAGCCCCTGCCCGCTGCGTTCTCAGACTTCTCCTCATCACCTGGCAGAGGGGACAGTTCCTGTTGTCTGTAACCATCAGCGGGTTATCACTCTCCTGAAGATGAGGACTTTGCCTTATTCTCCTGACACTGCCCGAGACTAGAACAGTGCCTGACACCTAGTAGGTGCTCAGTAAATAGATGTCGAGCCCGGCCGGTGTGGCGCAGTGGTTGAGCGTCAACCTATGAAACAGGCATCCCCAGTCAGAGCACAAGCCCAGGTTGCAGGCTTGATCCCTCGTAGGGGGCGTGCAGGAGGCAGCCGATCAGTGATTCCCTATCATTGATGTTCCCCCTTCTCGTTCCCTCTCCCTTCCTCTCTGAAATCAATAGAAATATATTTAATAAATAAATCAGTAGATGTTGAATGAGCAAGTGGAACTGAGTCTTCCCAACAGCCCGATGCCATCGAGAATGTTCCTCTCCTCGTTCTTCAGGGGAACAGAGCCCAGAGAGGCGACTGCGGCTGCCCAAACCCACACGGCCCAGAAGAGGAAAAGTCAGTGTCGGGGCCTTAAAATCACCCCCTTATCTTCCAAGGGAGCCCAGCCTCGCTTCCTTCTCCCCCGACCCTGTACCTCCCACCCCAGGGTTTTCCGAGACCCTGGCCCACTGGAGAGGGGCAGGTCTCTGAGAGCATCTCAGGCTGAGTACACACAGATTCAATCGATACCGGCTGACTTCAAACAAACAACTCAGGAAGTCCGGGAACATTATTCTACCACAGCAAACAAGAGAGCCAGCAGGAAGGGGGGGTGGGGGGGGGCGAGGGAGTGTGACCAGCCAGGGAAGCTAAAAACAGATCCCAACCTGCAGCCAAAAGCAAATGGAAACATTAGGAGCCACTCAGCCGGCTCCCCGAGGACAATGAGGGGGACAGAGCCAGAACGGCAGGCTGAGGGGTACTGCTGGCCACGTGGCCACCCCTTTGCCTAGGCTGTGCCCTCCGCCCGGCATGCCCTTTCCTCTTCTCCCCAAGCCCTGCCTGATTCCGAGGGCAGGCAACTCCTACTCCTTCATTCTTCAAAGCACGGCAGGCCAGGCGGCCCCGGTTTCCCAGCAAGGTGACTGTCATAGTGAGAACAGCTCATGTGTGACTCCCTTTTCCCGAACAATGACTGGCACTGCTTTGTGAAAAAATATTTCTAATTAGAGTTGGCATTACAACATAGTGGTTCAAGTCTAGTAACCATCTGTCACTGTGCAAAGTTATTACACTATTATTTTTTTAATCTATTTTTATTGATTTCAGAGAGGAAGGGATAGGGAGAGAGAGATAGAAACATCAATGATGAGAGAGAATCATTGATCGGCCGCCTCCTGCACGCCCCACTCTGGGGATCGAGCCGGCAACCCAGGCATGTGCCCCGACCGGGTTAATTGAACCGTGACCTCTTGGTTCACAGGTCGACGCTCAGCCGCTGAGCCACACCAGCCAGGCACGGTATTATTGACTCTATTCTCTGAGGGGCACCTGGCACTGCTGTTTAATGTCTTCACTTAATTGTCCTGGAAACTCAATGAGATGGGTACTGTTATGATCCCTACTGTGCAGGGGGAACACTGATGCTCAGAGGGCTCAAGGTCACCCCACTTGAAGGTGACGGTCAGGACTGAAACCAAGGCCCCTGACTCTAGATTCCAGAGCCCATCCTCTTCTGTGAGCCTCAGTTCCCTTGTCTGTAAAATGGGTGTGATGCCAGTTCCCGCCTGTGGGGCTGCTGCGGGCCCTGGGTGTGTGGAGCTGTGTTAACCCTTTGTACGCCATAAGCGTCTATAGATGCTTTAAAATCTTTTTGTGTGTGTGAGAATTTTCAACTGAAAATATTCAAGAGCACCCAAATTGTGAGTAATATTTATTTATTTTTATTGATTTCAGAGAGGAAGGGACAGGGAGAGAGAGACAGAAACATCAATGATGAGAGAGTCTCATTGATCCGCTGCCTCCTGCACGCCCCCCACTGGGGATTGAGCCCGTAACCCGGGCATGTGCCCTTGACCGAAATCAATCCCGGGACACTTCAGTCCACAGGCTGATGCTCTATCCACTGACCCAAACCGGCTAGGGCATAATATATTTATTTTTATAATATTCATTGCAGCCCTAGCCGGTTTGGCTCAGTGGATAGAGCATCAACTTGCGGACTCAAGGGTCCCAGGTTCGATTCCAGTCAAGGGCAGTTACCTGGGTTGCAGGCTCAATCCCCAGCCACAGTTTGAATGAATGGGTGTGTGGGTGGGTGGATGGATGGATGGGTAGGTGGGTGTGTGTGTTTGGGGCGGGGGAGTAGATGGATGGACAAACAAATTAAAACTTCTTCCTACTCAAGCCAGAGGTCTTAGGGGAAAAACAGCATGTTCTTGGAACAAGACCCTATCCCCACCCCCAGCTCCCCTCCACCACTGTTACCCTGTCCGGGCCTGTGACATGAAGTACAGCGGCAGCTCAGCTATAAAATTTCTTCATCTCCTTCCCTCCAGGGGCCTCCGGCCTTCCCCAAACTTCGGGCCCCTCTTATTTTGCCAAAAATTAGGACCTCGGCCTCAGCCTCAGCCCCACGGGACATCACCTCCAGGCCCCGGGCCAGGGAGGGAGCCGCAAAGTAAGTGAAGAGGGTAGCCGGGGCCCCCAACTCCTGGGTCTGAGGGAAGAGGGTGTGGGAGCGGAAGGGAAACATTGGTTCTAAAAAATCAACAGCCCCCCTCAAACTCCCCATTACAGAAACTCTTAAAGGGAAGGTCACCCCTCTAGCTGCTCCTGTGGGGCCCATGATCGCTGCCCAGACCTGGAGGCCAGGTGAGCCCCCCACCCTGCCCCGGTGCCCTCCCATGGCCCTCCCACCCCACCCCACCGCGATATGATATTATTTATCTAAGTCACCTCTTTCTCCGCCTCACAGGGCACAAGATCTGCTGCTAAAGGGGCCCCGGTGGCTTCCCGGCTGGAAGGGGGGTTTATGAAGCAGAAATAAACTGCCACTGCCCAGCCTGGTCTGTCCTCCGGTGTGTGGAGAGCGTGCAGCGGCCACTAGGGGGCAGCTTGGCATCGGGAACGCATGGGCCCTGAGCCCTGAGCCCCACCTGGTTACCCCAGAGCTCTGAGATCAGAAAGCCCCAAATGGGGGACCCAGCTCCTCCTCCACGCTGGCCAGGAGTCCAGGCCCCCAGCCCCTCCTCCCTCAGACCCAGGAATCTGCACCTCCCTAGCCTCCTCCCTCAGATCCAGGAGTCCAGGCTCCCAGCCCTCCTCCCTCAGACCCAGGAATTCAAACTCCCAAGTTCTCAGAGAGAGAAAGCTTACCCCCTTTCCCCATCATGGCAAAAAATCCCCGAAGTCAGACCCAGGCACCCAAGTTCTAAGTCCCTTCGTCAAAAAGAGCACACATTCCCCTTAGAGCTATGTCCCCAGTCTTGCCACATCTGTTCTCATCTCTCTCTCTCTGTTTTGTTTTGTTAATCCTCACCTGAGGATGTTTTTCCCGTTGCTTTTTAGATAGAGTGGAAGGGAGGGAGGGAGACAGAGAGAGAAACGTCCATGTGTCATCGAATAATTGCCTCCCACATGTCCCCCAAGATCAAGCCTGCAACCAAGGCATGTGCCCTTGACTGGGATCGAACCCGGGACCCTTCAGTCCGAGGGCCGACGGTCTGTCCAATGAACCAAACAGGCTAGGGCTCATCCCTCTCTCTTTATTCCTCTCTGGGAGCCTTCTCCCAGAGTAACAGTGACTTCTGGTCTAAATCAAGCTGGGCAAGTTTAAGGCAGGCCCCTACCCTGAGCCCCTACCCTGTGCCCAGCCCTGGCTGGACAACGCTGAGCATGAAGCAGTAATCACTGCCCCCTGGGCTTACAATCCAATGGGAGAGACAGACCCATCCCCGACAGTGGTGATCCAGAGTGGGCAGGGCTAGGATGGGGGAGCCCAGAGTGGGCAGCTGACCCAGCCTTGGAGGTCAAGGAGGGCTTCCAGGAGGAAGGGATGTCCAAGCTGAAACTGAAGGGATGAGCAGAAGGTATTCCAGCGTAAATGGAGCTGGAACTGTGCACCACAGATTTCGTTTCAAAGCAACAGAAGCCGCCTCTGGGGCAGAAAGGAAATTGATTGAGAGGAGTTGAGATCGATCGCTCACAGAATCCTGGAAGTGATTAGAGAACCCGAATTGGAAAGTGAGCAGCAACACCGGCCGCTGGCCTCAAACCATTGCCACAGTCACGCCACAGAACCGGTCTGACGAGGATATACTGGTGACCACTGGACACTTGTCACCTCACCTCTGCTGCCCCAGAAGCAGGCTGTGTCTGCTAGCTGTTGCTCAGAACAAATGACACTGAAATTTATTGGCAAACAATAACCATTATTACCTCTCACTAGAGGCCAGGTGCACAAAAATCTGTGCACTTGGGGGGGGTCCCTCAGCCCGGCCTGTGCCCTCTCGCAGTCTGGGAACTCTTGGGGGGTATCCACCTGCTGGCTTAGGCCCGCTCCCTGGGGATCGGGCCTAAGCTGGCAGTCAGACATCCCTCTGGCAGTCCAGGAGCCCTTGGGGGATGTCCACTTGCCAGTGGGGAGCAGGCCTAAGCTGCAGTTGGACATCCTTAGCACTGCTGAGGAGGCGGGAGAGGCTCCCACCACCACTGCTGTGCTGGCAGCCATCAGCCTGGCTTGTGGCTGAGCAGAGCTCCCCCTGTGGGAGCGCACTGACCATCAGGGGGCAGCTCCTGCATTGAGCATCTGCCCCCTGGTGGTCAGTGTGTGTCATAGTGACCAGTCATTCCCAGTCATTCTGCTTTTAGGGTCAATTTGCATATTACCCTTTTATTGTATAGGATAAAGGCCTGGTGCATGGGTGGGGGCCAGCTGGTTTGCCCTGAAGGGTGTCCTGGATTAGGGTGGGGGTCCCGCTGGGGTGCCTGGCGAGCCTGGGTGAGGGGCTGAGGGCTGTTTTCAGGCTGTCCACGCTCCCCCTCTCTCCCTCCCGCCCCCGGCAACCCTTTTTTTCTTTTTTCTGGGATTTATTTGTCTTCTATAATTGAAGCTTTGTAGCCTTGAGCGGAGCCCAGGTCCGGCCAGGGCAGGCGGGAAGCTTGGCTTCCTCCATCACCGGGGCAACCCAAGCCTCCTTCCGCTCCAGCTCCGTGGCCAAGGCCATCTTAGTTGGGTTAATTTGCATACTTGCTCCTAATTGGCTTGTGGGCATGGCTTGAGCATAGCAGAGGGATGGTTAATTTGCATGTTTCTCTTTTATTATATAGGACTAAAGGCCCGGTGCACAAAAATTTGTGCACTCGGGGGGAAGGGGGGGTCCCTCAGTCTGGCCTGTGCCCTCTCGCAGTCTGGGACCCCTCGAGAGATAACGCCCTGCTGGCTTAGGCCTGCTCCCGGGTGGCAGAGGGCAGGCCCAATCCCTAGGTGCAGCCCCTGGTTGGGCTCAGAGCAGGGCCGATTGGGGAGTTGGGGCACCACCCCCTGTCATGCACAGAGCAGGGCGGATTGGGAGGTTGCGATGGCACCCTCAGTCACGCTCAGGGTAGGGCCGATTGGGGGGTTGGGGCACTGCCCGCTGTCACGCTCAAGGCAGGGTCGATGGGGAGGTTGCGGCGCCACCCCCTGTCACGCACAGAGCAGGGCCCATCAAGGGGTTGGGGAGCTCCCCCCTGTCACTCACAGAGTAGGGCCAATAGGAGAGTTGGGGCACCGCCCCCTGTCACACAGAGCAGGGAGGATCAGGGGGCTGGGGCGCCACCCTCTATGACCCACAGAGCAGGGCCAATCAGGGGGTTGGGGCACCGCCACTGTCACACTCAGGGCAGGGCCGATGGGGAGGTTATGGCTCTACCCCGTCACACACAGAGCAGGGCCTGTGGGGGCAGAGGTTGGGGCACCCCCCTCTATCACCCACAGAGCAGGGCCGATCAGGGGGTTGGGGAACCGCCACTCTCACACTCAGGGCAGGGCCGATGAGGAGGTTATGACTCTACCCTGTCACACACAGAGCAGGGCCGATCAGGGGGTTGGGGAGCTCCCCCATATCAAGCACAGAGCAGGGTTGATCAGGAGGTTGGGGCGCCTTCCCCTGTCACAAACAGAGCAGGGCAGATAGGGAGGTTGTGGCCCCGCCCCCTGTCACACACAGAGCCGCAGGGTGATCAGGGGGTTTGGGCGCTGCCCCCTGTCATGCTGATCCTGGTGCCGGGAGGCCTCGCAGCTCCGCTGATGCCGGTGCTGGGAGGCATATTACCCTTTTACTATATAGGATAGAGGCCTGGTTCATGGGTGGGGCTGGCTGGTTTGCCCTGAAGGGTGTCCTGGATCAGGGTGGGGGTCCCCACTGGGGTGCCTGGCCAGCCTGGGTGAGGGGATGATGGCTGTTTGCAGCTGGTCACACACCCTTCAGGATGGGGGTCCCCACTGGGGTGCCTGGCCAGCCTGGGTGAGGGGATGATGGCTGTTTGCAGCTGGTCACACACCCTTCAGGATGGGGGTCCCCACTGGGGTGCCTGGCCAGTCTGGGTGAGGGGCTGAGGGCTGAAGCTCCCAACTGCTCCTTTTTTTCTTTTTCTTTTTATTCTGGGCCAGCTTTAGCTCTGGCTCCAGCTCTGAGGCCTCTGCTGCTGAAAGCAGGTATCTGGTTTGTTTGGGTTCTATAATCGAAACAATGTATAACTCCAGCTCTGAGATCCAGGCTCGCTGAAAGCAGGTTTCTGGGGTTTTGTTTAGCTTCTATATTTGTTACAATGTTTCAAACTGCAGGCTCAGAGGCCGGCAAGGCAGGCGGGGAACGTTGGTTTCCTCCATCACTGAAGCAAGCAAGCCTCATGTTAGTTTCAAGCTGCCTGGCTGCCGGCCGCCATCTTGGCTGGCAGTTAATTTGCATATCGCCCTGATTAGCCAACGGGAAGGGTAGCGGTCATACGCTAATTACCATGTTTCTCTTTTATTAGATAGGATGGGTGCTGTGGGCCAGGGTTTGAGTGGTTCTGGCTCAGGATGCAATCAAGTGGTGCCTGGGGCAGGGCAGTGGGGGGCTGCACAGGCATCCCTCTGCGGTCTCAGACCTTTCCATGTGCTCTCACACTTGCTAGCTTGGGCTTCCCCACAACATGGCTGCCTCCAGGTAGTCAGACTGCTTATACGGTGGCTGAAGGCGTCTTGGACAGTATTTCAGTGATGTTGACTACACGGCTTTTCTACCTAATCTTGGGAGTCCTGTAGTGTGGTTTCTGCCATATTCTATTGATTACATGTGCGTCACACAACTGCACAAATGTAAGAGGAGGGGACATAGACCCCACTTCTTGGTGGGAAGAGCATCAAGGTCAGATGTTGGAAGAGCAGGTAGGATGAGCGATGTTGTCCCAGCCATCTTTGGAAAATGGAATGTGTCCCAGCTGCCCTGGTGAGAGTAGAGTTCCCCAGGCCCCACTTCTTTGATGTGATTAGCTCCCGATTCCCAAGCAGAGTCGGGTTTGTCAAGGTCACCTGCACACCAACAGACACAGAAAGGCAAACGTGTCCTTGTCAGCTTCAACAGAGGGCAGCTGGCTCTCCGGCAGCAGACAATTTTTGTAACTGTGGAAAGAGGGTGCAGAGGCTAGCTAGGTAACCCCCAAGCCCTCCACAGTCCGCCCCTTGGAACACTCACTCTCGACATGTACCCTTTGCTCTGTGCTTCCGTTCTATTATCTAAACTCCCCACACAGCTAACTCTTGTCCAACCAAAAATGCATTCACGCTGCCTCCCCGCAGACAACGCACATTCTCAGTAGTTACCTTTTCCGGGTGCCAGTCTGGAATCATTGGGGAACAGTGCTTGTCCTTGAAATGTGTCTTCACCCCGTATTCCACGAGCTGTGAGCTCATTTTAAAGTTCACTGTCATGTCCGGCTGACGTGGCTCAGTGGCTGAGTGTCAACCTATGAACCAGGAAGTCACGGTTGAATATCCTCAGTCAGGGTTACATGATCCCCAGCGGGGGGCATGCAGGAGAAG